AATTTGGTGTTTGAATGTATCTTATTAAGTGGCCCAAAGGTCAATCTTCGTAATTGTTGCAGACTGCATTGCATGCATTTAGTAAACCAGTATGTTCAATCGAAAAGGAAAAGAGAAATCAGTTTTTCGCCAAAACATAAGGATGGAAATGCATTATATCAAATGTGATAATAAGGTTTACCATCTTGGGCTGAGCGCAAACTTCGATACACACAATAACGTCAAAATGGGTAAAATTTGCGAGGACACAACTGTGTGTGCGCATCTTTATTTGAAATAAACATAATTACTCATGAACAATAACAAATTGGCACAAAGAGACGATCTGCCGTGAATGTTTTTTTAGAAATGGTTCCATGCGGATACGTGGAAGGCGCTTTCTACGAAATGCGCGGGCCCTCGAATTTAGGGCATATTAAATGTTAGTAGCTGTCGCATATTCCGTTTGAACAAACGCTTTATTTTTCTCGACTATCAGTTCTAATTGAAAAAAGGTGTTAACTAGTAAACAGTTGTGCCGCACACACAGAAAAAGACCAACTCCTTAAGTCAATCTTTTTGTTTTGATAAGAGTGGGCGTTATCCCCCATTTACAATGCCCGACCTCAAATGACAAGAAAAGGAACTCGTGACTAAGGGCGTTGCACGTCTAACCAACAGGCCACAGAATTGAGACCCAGGCATTTAACACTTTCGGGTTTCGTACGACTGACCGAGGACGGTTAATAAGTCAGGAATGTCCAGGTTGATATCCCTTGGCTTTACCGCTGATGCTATTCCGCTTTACATATACTTATGTCCGAGCAAATTTTAAAAAAGAAAATATGTTTAAGCGAAGAAAGAATCATAGTTAGTGTTCTCTATATTCGCCACTTTCTTCTGCCTTGAGCATCGTGCTACAAATGTTCTAGATAGCGACCTGTCTTTCCACAAACTGCATGAGCTTTTGCAGATTTTGGGATTTTATGTGGATTCTTATTGAAATATACATATTAACTCACGCGATTTTTCTTATTAAAACATTGTGACGTGCCATCTCTCCCCTGACGTATAGTGATATCTTAGAGGTTAACATCTAATAGACGGAATTTATGTGTTTTGCTTTAAACATACGAATAGTAAAAGTTAATTCTGGTGGAAATCTGTTTCAACTAACTTCAAATATGCCGGCCTGTGACAAACGAGCTCAAAAAGCTTTAACGATCGGTCAGTTAAATGACGACAATCAGCTTTAGGAACTGAATTGCAGCAAGGATTAGATATCACGAAGGAAGCGATAAGTTTGGAGGACAAGTAAATAGTTCATGCTGTGTCGTTGTTTGATGATAATTAGTAGTATCCATTTGCCTTTAAGTTATAGTGCAAAGGGATGGTATAACAATAATGGTCTCAATATATTATTCTTTTTCGAATGTACTTATTGGATATGCTCTTGTTCAAATATGCTTTAAGTAATCATTACGCATTATAATCTTAATAAATGTTATCTGGCTACGTGTCAAGAAACCTATGTTTATCTTTGTGGTGATAAAAGTTTAAACGCAATGGGTGACACTGAACCCCATTCATAGCTGCGTCATACTCGGTTACAGTGAGCATAGAATCGGACAAGTACAGTATCTTTAATAAAAGCTGCTTTGAGTAGGTCTGCGAAGCAGCGTCTACCTACATTTTATTGCTGGTCATACGTATTCTAACCGTCAGGGATCTTAACTAAAAAAATTATCTGCGGACGCATCGCCTGGAAATGGTAACAATACCCAATAGTCAGCCTACTTTTTTCCCTATTTCCAGGAACCATGGCGTGTTTATAATGGATCTGGTTATCAGAAGACGAGGTGGAGGGCATACGTAGCTTTCCATAAATTCTCGTCGGGCCAGTACAGTTATATACGAACGGGGTACAAGTTAAACCTGCAAACGATAAGAGAAGTCGACAAAAGTACTCCTTAAAACAAAGGCGGGGTGTGGGACTGTGGGGGAGGGGCTGGGGGTGAGGGTAATAATAGTCACTGTCAGGCGCGGGGTGAGAGCGCAAGTGCGCGGGGGGAGTTGCACCGTTAGTCAGCCTTCGACCACGGCAGGCGCGGTGCCTGAACGTGGTTCTTCTGTGCGCATAAGTTTGGCTTTCGTTACCTAATGGCGGCGCTTCCGCTGTTGCTAACAGGCGCTTAGGGTAGCTCGATGTGACCTTATAAATAACACGAAAAGCTTCGTTGGGGTCCACACGATGTCCGAAATCGACAACATGCGCGAGAATGGCGCTGCTTATACTCCTCGTTTCGCCTTTTCCTAGCCATGCCGGGATGTGTTCGCGTATTCTTTTGGATAAGCGCCGACTCGTGCGACCAACATAAACTGCTCCCGACGAGAACTTACCGAAGGTTAGGTATGCTCGTCACCTCGTCTTCTGATTACTGCTATGGAAATTTTCGCAACTCTAAAACAGTCCAAGGATCTGGTTATTTTTGCTAAATACCAACAATAACGTAAGGGCCCTTTACTATTGCCTTCCATCTCGATCGGTATCTTTTTTGTACTTATCGTATCCAAAAATCAAAATACAAATGAGTTGCTGCTGAATGGATCGCAAATATTATCGTGGCGCCTTGTACGTTTAACACTATTCCCTCCGTTTACATGCTTCTTAGAGGAAGAGCCAACTTATCAGCCAACTCAAAACACACTAACTTAACAGTGTCAATGCGCACCAGGTCTGATTGTGTGACTGTGTCTGGCTGACAGTCGCATATGTACCCCAAACCCATATAAAAGACGTCAAATTGTTGTCTTTGGGGCGATTACCACTGGCAAGATCAAATGGACTACTTCAGACGCCGCTAACTGTATTTTTGACACGCACGTATGTTTGCACAAGTCACTTTTTCCATTAAAATTTCTTTGTCTGTGTCGTTGGCCCACTCATAAGGATTACTTTAGTTCTTTGGAAATATCAATGAGCAATTTGACCTTGACACAGGGCGTTACAATCGCTACAGCATAATCACTCCCTGGGTGAATAAAGGCACTTACTTAGTGCTAATGCATTTGTTTGCAAGCTTAAAAAACCGGAGCGTATTGCCGCGTCACTCATCACGGTAAATCGATTATAGATTGTACGCATTGCCTGAAAACATCGAATCAAAATCGAAACCTGGGCGTGGTGCCCAGACCGGAAAACAACGCCTACGCCTGCTCATTTCCATGGAGAAAATAGAAAACAACGTGTGAATATAAGGCAGATCCGGTTAATTTTAACCGGTTTTATGTCAATGATGCCGTTGTCCAACTTGACTGTGGTTTTGGTTATTGTACTTTCGGTCTCCGGTGCGTTGTCATAACGGGTTTTTATTTATTCATTTATTTACTTATTTATTCATTTTTTACTTAATGCACGGTATGTACCAGTGTTCCATTAATGAAATCGCTTTCAGTACACGATAAGTAATTTAAGCATTAATCTAGAAAATATTAAGTAATTCAAAACTGTTGTCTTATTGCTCGTTAAATTTTTCAATATATCATATCATAACCCACAGTGTTGATGCACGACCATGTGTTGGCTTAGATGTTCCAGGCTAAACACTAAAATTCCAGGCCAAATACTAATTTACGAATTCTTAAATCGAATATTTGGACGTAATGATACACGCTTCTCTACCTTAAATGGTGATCTAGCCTATGCTAAAAATCTACACTTAAAGAAGATTACTTTGAAAAAAAACTTTTTTGATTAATATCATGCCTATACCGGCATTATGACGAACACAAGAGCTCGTCCTTTGGGAATGCATTTATTGTATAAAAGCTGTCAAACTATAGCATCACAAATTCATAAGGTGCACTTTAGACATCACCCCCCTTATGCTAGTTTGTACGCATTTATCCGTAAAAGCGAACCGCACATTTTGGCCATATATATCATATGGTAGTTTTTCTAGCGGTAAACGCAATATGCTACTTAAGTGCACGATCTGCAGTAAATCTTTCTCCAGATTACACGCACTGTATGCATTCGGTTCAAAATCCCTCAGTAAATCGCCTAATTGGAGTTGCAGCAGTTGCCTTACCATTTTCAGATGCAGTTGCATAATTAACTACGGACAGTGTGTTTGTGTGCTAATAATCCGACCGTCTGTGCAAGGACGCAATCAAAAATATAGTCCCAAATGCGCCGACGTGGGGTGTCAACGATATGAGAGAAATGCTTCTTGAACATAGGCATTCAGTTGATATTTCAGGATGATGCGAAATCCACATTTGATTAACATTTATGTCTATTCCTAATAGGACCTGCCCAACCGGCGGAAGATATCAGCGTTTGTGAAGAGCCATACGGTGGTTGTGTTGGTTTCTATGATAAGAAGGATAATTTCTCATCATTTTATCGATGCTTGGACGCCTGCAACTTTGAAAAAGGTTCGCATACTTTGAAAAAGTTATGGCGGTCGTTTTTTTAATTGTTACACAACATTAACCGCTTTTCCTGTTTTTAGTACCTGGTTCGAAGCAGCTCCAAGGGTATTCCTGCACCAGTTATCGGATTCCATGCACTCCCCTAAATTTTTATTACGTCCAATCGTTTAAGAATCCTTTCCTTGAGTGGACTACTTGTCTGGAAACTTGTCATGTGCTTTACAAAGGTAACGCTGATCGGTATTAAAAATCAGTGTCAATTTATAGTTGCTAGTAGAAATTGAGTGCGCATTTCATATAAAAAATATAAAAAAAAATTTTTTTTGCGCGTTATCGGACTTGCGAGGGATGGTGATAATCAACCGCAATGTTCATGAACAGCGTATTGCAACACACTGAACTATAACAGCAGCCATTTTACTTCTTTGTTTTCTGAATGATTTACGCTCCCAATCCTATCCGTTTTCTTGATTGTGCATAACCGCAAAAAAGTGTCATCTGATTTTCCCGTTAATGTCATGTACCAAGATGGCATTTTAGATGACGGAACCGTACCATTTAAGAACGAGATCTGCACGCAACCAATGCAAAATTGTTTCGATTTCGAAAATGAAGATGGAACTCTGGATGCGTTTATTGGATGCTACATCGACTGCCAGGTGGCTAAAAATGGTAGGAAATTGGTTTGGTCAACACACTATTAAATATCCCTTTTTATTCCTTACCGCGTTTTCCAAATTCTTTTATAGACAATGAAACGCGTATAAGTCGTGCACACATTTGCAATCCTACATCTCGTGCGTGCATTAAAACGGAATTCTTCATCTCATCGGGAGATCCAAACCCAGCGCTCAAATTGCGGAAGTGTTACAAAGAGTGTGCTAGTCCTGGTGGCACAGGTAATTGTATGATGCATTGAAACGCATTTCACAATAGAGAATGCGTTTAGCTAATTAAATTAATTACAAAAACCTAAACGAATATGCTCAGAATATTTTAAAACAGATAAAAAAGAACTAGATACGATTACATAAGCCCCGTCATTTTGGCAGTAGTATTTTTCTGGGTATAACTGGGTTGTTCATTGGTGCTTTGTCAGAAAGTGGTCCAAAAATAAATTTATCCAATTTCACTTGCACGCTATAGAACTTGGTCCGATATGCTATAGTCATTTTTTGTAGAAAATACCAGCTAGGATACTAATTGTGGCAGCTCTTCACGGCTGCATCCTTTTAAATTAAAGGATGAGTGCTTCATGCCAATTTGTGCAACAGTTCAGCATATGCGGCTAGACAATCCAGTCTAAATTTCTGAAGCAGGGGATTTATTTTCCCGTTCGCGATTCATTTAGAAGCTTAATGTGTTTTCCATTAAAGCGTCGTCTTATTTTCCAAAATATAACAGAAACAGAAACAAGTCAGAAACCTGTACTTTTCAAATGTGATGTGGACATAAAGACATGCACACCATGCGACGAGGAGGACGAAGGCTGTTCTGACTTTCAAACTTGTGATGATTACTGCAAGGAAATTGGTGAGTGGTTTGACCTTATATAAATTAGGTCTAGCCTTGTGCACATAAATCACTAGACTGTATACACAAGCTGTTCTGATGCGCATTTTGGGATCAATACTTCGAACGGTAGCGCATAAATTTAGCCAAAAGTGTTTCTCTTTTGAGACGTTAATATTCCGCCCGAGTTAGACAAAATGTGGTTTATTTTACAACATAAATTTCAACGGTTTTAATACAGGCAATACAATAGCGGTTTTTTAAAAGCCGGTAACTGCCGCGTTGTCATGCGAGTTCTTTAGTTAGCATGCTGGTGCATTAGTCTGTGTTGCAGCATAAAAGTCGGCGTCTAACGGCATAAACCATGGTAGACGTCGATTGCATATTTGCGGTTAAGACTTATCTCAACATGTTGCTGCATCTCTTTTATCAATCTGATCTTGGTATTTAAAACAATGACGCTGTATTTCTACTGAAACCGCAACCACGCATCAATTGACCGAGGGGCGTCGTCTGCATGTGCTATAGAAGTTACCAAATAACTGACCATAAACGTTAAGAAACTCCACTTAGGAGCTATACTACACAACTGCTCGACGGCATCTGATGCTTGATGCGATTCCGCATTTGGTTCGCAGCTTATAAAAAATACCGAACGCACTAGGCATCGTAGTGTATCATCCGCGATACATACTTATTTGACAAACTCTGTTTTTGCCTTGTTCCTTCCATATATCCCGAAAGGTACTCACTGAAAGCGTATGTTTACGCATGCAATTGTCCGTTCAGTGAGTGGTTGAATCGATCAATATGCCTCGAATTGGCAGACAGCGACATTCACACTTTCATGTGTTTATCGCCTTGGCAAGTGCGTTTTGAACAACCCTGCCATTTAGCCTGTTTAATAAGAGGACGTTTATCATGAAGAACGATTTCACAGTGTCCATTGGAAAGTGCTGTTTACCGTGTCATGAGTCTGCTGCCTTTCTTAGTTAGACACAGGATTTGAACGTGTCTATAAGCAATATCATTTTGAATTCAGTAAGCGAATATTATATCTATGGTCGTTAGGTTTGCGTCAAGTTTACTAACCCAGTCACAACCTGTCCGTGCATTCGTTTAAAAAGAGGTGTTTGGTTGACCCCAGCGGTCGATGTAAAACCAAAACTTTTGACCTTGAATACCGATTAACATAAACTTCTATTGCTACCAAAAGCGCCTTGGTGCGATGCCGAACAAGCTGTTATATCACAATGCACATGATTATAAGTAATCGGGTAATAAGGCGCGGAGAAGACTTGTCGTGATGGATTCTGTAGGAAGAAATGTACTGCTTCAATGTTATTGCTTGGAATCAGATATTTCGGCCTGACGTGCTTGAGGAGATGCACAGAGCATTTTGATCACTGCCGTTCATTTAGGCGTTTCTACAGTCGAAGCGTGATTTCGGAAAATTTGTTTCGTTTGACACCGGATAATACCGTAGGTGTAGTAAGTCACGTTCACATGATATGCCAAAGGCGTTATACGACGTTGTTATCATTATCCTCAGCGCACCGACATTTTGGGGAGTAATTTGCCAAGATCTCAAAGTTGCATGATTAGCACCAGCCTAGTCATCACGGAAATCAAACCCGGAGTGAGAATAGTTCAAATATGATGAAGAGCTGTAGGTAGGTAATTTATCTAGTTCACTTAATTATAAAAGGAATTTTCGATTTCATTATAGAGGCAACCGGCCGTGTAGCAGCCAGATGAATTGCAAGTATTTGCCCGAATGCGTAAGCAGTCAACCATAGTAAGCTGAACTACTAAATGTGCAAACTCGAACTGAGGGTCTTGTTGAGTTTCAACCGTGAATGTGACACCAAAGTTGGGGACATGACTGGAAAAACAAAGTTTTAGCCACCATAATTTGTCAGGAACATGAAATGAATTCATTTCTAGTGAAAACCAAATTTCAGGAAAAAGTTGGCCGAAATTCCGAAATATGCGGTTGACAAAAGTAGATTACTTAGGCAAGGTTGAAACATTGACTTTCATACCCCAAAACCATGCGAAAGGTATACTTCATAAATACTTTAATCGATAAAAGGCAGTAGGACGCCGGATGTGGATTAAATTCATTCTGATATTGACTACCTATTGAACACGTTAATTTGCCCACTTATTCGATTTGACGAATGTAAAGAATTCACGACTTGCTAGGAGATAACGGTAAAATGTATTTAATTGACACTGAAATTAAAAATTCGGGCAAATGCCAAACTAATTTGGCAGTAAGGTTTACTGTGGCAGATCAAGAAGATGTGTATTCCAAAGCCAGCATCATGTCTATTATAATATATCACAGGAATGGTTATTAAAAATCCAAAAGCATTGAAGTACGTCTTACTAGTCAAAGGCCCAGTTCAGCTGTCATAAGTGATTTTACGGTCGTCCAACAACGACCCACACAGCCCATTATATACCCATAATCCAACTCATTTTATGTGGTGTGCTTTGCAGGTTGATATAAGACAAAGTTCAACTGGGGGGTTCCTTTTGGTCGAAAGTAAGGAGCGAAGCAAATTGTATGATGAAAGCAGTAGACAGTGAAATCTCGATTACCTTTCAACTGATCATGCAGCATTATAATTATGTAAACTTTAAGGATTCGCCTTTCAGACGTGTTTTTATTTCATTCGGTACGCGACGCCTCAAGGAAAACTAGAAAAAAGGGCTGAATTCAAGCGCAATGCTATGGATGGACAGACGGTACTGCAGCTCTTTACATATCCACCATAAGAAAGAATGACGTATGAGATGCTGGATGTGTCAGAATTATGACGTCGGCCAAACCAGCCTTCGACTTGTCAAGATAAGACTTTAAGGAGTGTTCGGACAAGCGTTTAGGCGGATACATGCAGTAGCTACTTTAGAAAGATTTGGCTAGCTGTGTCCCCCGGTTCCAGAAACTGCTTAAATTATTGCTCGAATCTAAGTAAGCGGGGTTCGGCGACGACATCGAAGTTTGCGCCTGCAGCTATATTGTGGAAATAATCGATCGGTTAAAGGTGACATTACCCAACACATTGCAAGAGGTGTTGAGGACAAAATGTCGTTTGTCAAACTTTCATACTAGGATATTTATAGTGTTCACCGCTGATACGGTTTAACATAGAGGAATCCTCCATGCACGCATGCAGAAAACGTGTAAAAAGAAACGCGTTATGTACATTCTAGGAGGAAGTAATAACGTATGAGTGTCACAAGGTATGTGCATGGTTTGATATAGTTTGGAGAGATACAAACTGTCCTCATCAATTTGTCCTCATGAAGTAGGGGAGTCAGAAAGGTCTGGAGCGGATTAGTTGTGATGACACTATTTACGCCTGATTGTCCGATTGAAGTTGCCGGCTAATGGGTAGTTTTAGACACGACATGTTTATGTTTAGCCGTAGGGCATTTCGATGACGGCTGGTTATATTCCGTTAAATGCACTCGAAATTATTCCTACCAGAAGCAAGCCGACTGCTGGATTGTCGACTGTGACATTGTCTGCCGTGTGTTACACAGGCAGGCGCTGCATGCACAGTGACTTGCGCATGGTAGACTTTCGGAGCATCTAACGCACTCACTCCTCCCCACTACCGATCCGATATCAAGACAGAGTCAAGGAGACCGGGTGCGTGGGAGGACGCAAGTGGTTCGCACGGCCGGACCCTCACTTAGGCGCGCCACCACACCTACTGGTTCACTCCATACACTTGACCAGGATTTTACACAAACAACAACGACCACAGCCCAATAGGGGTCAGAACTATGAGCTCGGGGACAGACATAGCACACGCATTCAGAGTTTTTGACCGGAAACAAGACCCGCACCTGCGCAAGTCAAGAATAACCCGGAATATGCGAAAGATGTATGGGTAGGTGAATCTAGGTTATTACTTGAGTAGATGCCGACGTTAACTGCAGTAGGGTGGGCTAAATCATAAAATTTCAACCAAATTCCTAAATGAGTTTTTGTTTTGAAAAGATTAATTAAGTGGAGTTGGAGAATTAGTCAGCCTGCAACACAAATCTATAATATTCCGGTTACCCCGGGATGCATGCTTTCGAATAATCTTTCATCCGACCGCACGCACAAACTGCTTTCTGTAAAAATGATTGCTAAAGTAACATGTATTTCTTTTACTGGTTTTCGCTACCCCTAAACGTCTAATTATATTTCATGGAAAGCAGGGATAAGAACATTCCTTCTTTTTCTCATTCAGTAGATGATTACGTCTTCTTCCAAAATTATGCTCGAAGGATTGGTATAATTCTACTTGTAGTTTGAAAACCCTCAATCCATTTGTAACGTTAAAGTGTGTTCAACATTGTTCGTGAACTAAAAAAAGGCTTTGAAAACTGAATTACACTATTCCTTCGAGTGTAAGATTTGAAAAAGACGTAATTGTCCACTGAATTAGCAAAATGAATATTATTATGCATGTTTTCCATGACAAATAATTGGACATTTAGGGGTATTGAAAATCAATGAGAAAAATTCATGCTACTGGAATGACCATTTTTACAGAATTTAGTTTTCGCATGCAGCCTGACAGAAGTCCTTTGTGAAACCGATATCCTGAGGTAACTAAGTTATTATAGAAGTATGCGGCATGTTGGTTAGTTTTACAACTCTACTTAGCTAAGCATTTCGAAACAAAAGCGCATTTCGGAATTTCGGTTAACATTTTATGAGTCAGCCCACTTATTTTAGTTACCAATTTGCAAAACGTTTCAAATTAAAGGACAAAATGACTACCGATGATTGAGATGACGGTGCCGCCAATCTAACGGTATTTTAAATGAGATAAAGAAAAGTGCAGCCCGTAAGACCTTGTTATTCGCGATCAACGACGGAGTCCTTGTGCAACGTTCAAGGACAGACAATAGGGGAGGGAAGTCGGTGAAAGTGCTAGTTTGGAAGATGATGAAAAAGTAAGAGGTCACAAATTGCGCAGGAACGGTATTTGCTACTAGATATTCTGATCACGAAAACTGTGTCGGAGCAACCTATTCAACACGGTTCCTGTGGCTACAAAAAAAGTTCAGTAGCTCTACAGAATAGGACTTAAGGGTGCGAACGGTTACCAATAAATGGATAAGATTGACAACCCCGACACTTAAGACAACAGGAAGTGATGTTCGGCTATCAGTTAGATATTCAGAGAGTCAACACGGATGTCATATGATACCATACCTGTCTTAATATCCCTTAACTACGTACAGGGCTTGACCTATCTCATGAAATGTTGGCTAAAATTCTCAAATGTGTTTTCGATTAGGAAGGATTACTTGGTCGCGGTTGTGATACTGATCATCATAAGGCATACTCTTATAACATTTTAGACTCGGCAGGATGTCAGCTTTTAAATGCACTTCTTTTTCAACTCCTTTAGAAAGCGTGCTCGGTAAAAAGTAACTACTTAAATAGCATGCATTTTTTCCAGTGATTTTCGATGGTCTTGGAAATTCAAATATATTTTATAAAAACCACAAAAAAAAATTCTTTCTTTATTCAATCAATAGAGAATCACCTCTTCTTTATATTTTATACTTACTTAATTATGTTAGAAAAAAGGTTTCTTGTTGCCGAAAAATTTGGAACCTGAACATTCGTTGAATTAGCGCTTAGTGATTACACTCTACAAGGTGCATGCGTTCTGCGCAAAGAAAATCTCATATTTTTATGTCATTAAATAAATATCAAACAGGGTCCATACATTTTTGCAATGGATGCGGACCATGTTGTACGTTTCATTAGTAGCAGTGGTAAACGGCCAGATACGATGCTTTGTGAATAGACATCTCGCGGTTTGAAAAAGTCTCGTATTAAGAAACTTTTTTAAAACCTTATTATAGTCCTTCCTAAAGTAAGAACATATAAAAAAGACGTGCTTCTCTATTTATTGACTAAAAGAAAGCATATTTTTGTTTGTGGTTTCTATAAAGTATATTTGAATTTCCACGACCATCGAAAATCAATGGGAAAATGCATGTTACTTTACCGAGTACGCTTTCTACAGGAGATTAAAAAGAAGTGTATTTAAAAGCGGACATCCTGTCGAGTCCAAAATGTTATAAGAGAATGCCTTAAGATAATTAGTGTCACAACCGCGACCAAGTAATCCTTCCTAATCGAAAACACATTTCAGAATTTCAGCCAACATTGCATGAGATAGGTCACGCAGTGTAGGTGCGTTTGCGTTGCGTGATAATGCCCATATTGTGTGACTGTCAATGGTAGCGACACTCATCGAATTCGGATTCGCAGTTGTTTATCGTCAAATTAAATTCGCGAACAGCTGTAAAACAGTAGCATGACCGAAATGCATGTAGTGGTCATTCTATTTCAATTGGTATTATCACCTATCTTGGAGTGATGACGGAACGGCAGGCTAGGATTCCCAAATAACACCTACGTTGGACGCTGACCAGGCAAGCAGCTGTGATAAGTTGTCGCCCGTGGAAACTCATAATCTCAGCACGTGTGTGCAAATTACGCCTGCATTCGCACGACAAAAAAACGATTGGTTCCGACATATCGTCAAGCCTGGTCAGTTGAAACACGCGACTGATTGAGAGTGTGATGCAGACAGAAAAGTGGCGAGTGAAAGCGCCGCTGAGATACCACATGGTCGTGCAGAAACTAGTTGTGTTTACACTCTAACACCATGCCTTAATTTCCCACCTCTAATGACGGTCAGATGTCGCTCCGAGGACAGTACTTTTCAAGTGTGATATGGAATCGAAGTCATGCGAACCATGCGAAAACGACGATGAAGGCTGTTCTGACTTCCCCAGTTGTGACGATATCTGCAAAGGTGACGGTGAGTGCTTAATTGCGTAATTTTATTGTAACATCTGTTTTGACGGAGGCGTTATGTGAGACCTGTTAGCAAAAAATTAAGATGTATATACGACTTTCAGTTGAAATTTTAATTTGCGTGTGTGTTTAGAAATTTATGCTAGAGACAGGCCTTATGCCTTATTCGTATTCATACGATTATTTTGAACGGCAGTTATAGCTTTAACTACACAGATAGGAGACAAACATGATAGACATTCTCGTAAAAACGAGTAAACTCTCTTCAGCGGATCCGCATTGCCAACACAACATCTTTCCTGGTTGCGTATTTATACAATTTGCGCAAAATATATAAAAAGCTATTTCATGGAATGTAAACCGACAATATAAAAATGGATTCATATTTTAAGTAAATTAATCAATTTAAACTGTTTTATCGGTTATTGGGCAACACAATCCTGGGATATATCAACCACGATTAGGTTTCAGCCTTCGAACGAGGGTCTTGCCGTCCACCTCCGTATAATATACCTTTGACAATGTCAGTCTGTATGTTCCTAAATATGTTTGATCCCAAACACATTCAAAAACATTGTATGCAGAATCGATGCGCGTAATATGCATTTTATGCTCATCTTGTTGCATAAAATGCCCAACTTCATTTTTCACTTGTGGAAGGAGTATCTTCAGACCATAAATATTTTCTAATTATGAGACTTCTTAAGACACGTAACAGTCCACACATGGAATAAGGCATCGTCAAACGTATAAATGCTGCAAATAAAGCGGACGACCGGCGCCCCATCGATTAACACATTTTATAAACTCATTAAATACTAATATTCATGGCAGAACCATATGATTCCCTTTACGCGGATAGTCATGTGCTTCTTTTTCAGAAAGCGAGAATACAATTTTAAAGGCAGATTGATATAATAGACATTTAATAATTACCAATTGTAATATTTCTTCACGTATATTATTTGGGAAGGATTAAATATGTCGCGTAATGTGTAATCAAAATAGTACGTATTGTAAACTGTTCTATAAGTAAAGTTTGGTTTGTAAGAATATGGAAAATCAATTAAACAGATCTTCTGCAACAGAGCAATAAGGATAATGTTGCTTCTTTTTTAATACTCTCAGATATTAAGTACTTACTTGATGCAAATCAGTCTATTCAATGACAATGGGTGCAAACCAGGATTTCTAAATATAAATATGTTGGCCGAGGTCCATCGGCCACAGCTGCCAATATTAATTACCTGCCGACTGGCACCTAGTAGTATACCAAAGGCTAAGATGACACCACATTACCAGCACAGGTACTAGCCAAAAGCCCATACACGCGTGTTTAGCCGAGGTTCTGCCGCTGCACGGCCAAGCTGTGAGGGGTCCGAATCGTCAGTGGTTCCCATAGCATTCCCCGTCTGTTTATTCGGTGGATTCTCCTCTTTGTAAATTATAACGTTTTTAATTACTTAAAAAAATAAAACAGAAACTTGGAGTTTATCAGTTTATTCAATGTATATACGCCCAGACGAAGATTTTTGTGTACGAGCCTAGAAGCTTTGAAAAAACTGACATACTTCTTGTTCCTGGTTTATTTATGAGGAAAATAAAAAGTGACAAATTTTCAATTGAAATATCTACCTAAAAACAAACGCAAAACGCTGGGACACCCACTGCCGAGACAAAGTCCTCGTAGCTGTGTCAGGCAGCGGCATAATATCGGCAAATAAGCATGTGCGGGCTTTTATTAATACCTGTGACGTTAATATGGTATCACCTTTTCGACTAATATGTCGCTCTTTTGAACTGAAAACAGTGGTTAAATTGTTAAGCGGTTATGTCTAACAGTGTGGGTACGCGGTATAGGTGGAAAAACGGCAGGGACCATTTCGTTTTTGTAGCATTCAATTGAAGCATTCACCTTTGCGTGACATTCAAAACATATGGAGGGCGACAGTATTTCGAGAGTCAATTATCAGCTGTCCACATAACGCCATTTACTTGCTGCCTTGCCGAAGTTTCAATATTGCCCATACACTTGCCAGCACATATCTAGAGGACGTATTGTTAAAACTTGTAGAAATATTCAGTGATTTAGACAAACTGACATAACTAAAAATCACGTTACGCAACAAACACCTTAGTACATACAGTGGATGTTCTAACTCATAAAATTTCATCAAACATTTCGAAATGCGTTCTCGTTTCGAAAAGATAAATTAAGAATTGCTGTAAAACTGATCATGATGCACCATAAATCTATAATGATCTAGTTAACCCAGGGTGTCGGAATTTGAAAAAAACGTATTTTTGTCTGCGGGCAAGATCTGTGCCCTGCAAAAAATTACTACTTATGCTGTATGCGATTGTATCATTTATTTTCAAAGTCCTTAAATATTGGAGTAAATTTTATGGAAAACATGCATAAAAATATTAATCCTTTTACTTATTCGGCAAAAAATCACGTCTTCTTCCGATTTCATACTCAAAAGAAGAGTAAAAATCAGTTTTAAAAAAGTTTCTAATTGTGACATTGTAATACCGTTAAATGCCCGTTCCTGAAACGTCATGTATTTGCATTTACGAATGCGGCTTGTAAAGTTAACAATATTTCTCAAATCCACTGCTTAATTGTCTAAACCTTATATAATGTCCTCTTAACAACGTAGAGAAATGCATGCATTTCCGTACACGGAAAATATACGGCTTGCAGATTTTAAACCCTAAACACAAGTGTAACAGCAGGTCAGGCTCAAAATTATTCCGGAATTAGAAAACATTTTTAAAATGGAATTTTACTTTTTGTACGAAATTGGAGGAAGACGTGATTTTCTACCGAATAAGTAAAAGAATAAATATGTTGATGCACGCTTTTCATGAAATATAATTGCATTATCAAAAGCATCAAAATCAATGAGACAATTACATGCTACTTAAGTAGTAACTTTTCCTTAGTATTGCTCTTGCATGCAGCCGAAATTAAGTTTTGTCGAAGCAGACACCATGGGGTAACTAGATCATTATAGATTTATGCTGCACCCTGATTAATTTTACAACGCTACTTAATTTATATTTTCGAAACGAGAACTCACTTCGAAATTTTGGTTGACATTTCAGGAGTTAGCATATCTACTGTATTATCATGTCAGATTTTCGTTGCAGTGTCTTATGAAGCTTTTGGACTGCCGCTTCATGTATCATACAAACAAAATTAAAAGATCTGATTAAGGCATCCACATTCTGAGTTGTTTGGTAAGGCATTAACATATGTTTAATGTGCGACCATAAACTGAACACTTGCGAGCAGTTTACCATAGAAAATTTTGTTTCTCACTGGATTCAAAATGTTAACATAGAATGCGTATGAACAGTACATTATAATCGCTGTTCCATCCAGAAATGGTTCTTGTTTCTTTGTTGACACGTCTCAACTTCTTCGAAATAATCAGGCCCGTATTTGCAAAAAAATAATTTGCAAGTATTATAAGAAAACCCAATAACTAAGTGCGTTCCCTCGCTAACAGCAACTAGTCATTTTGTTTTCTACATAATGGTCAGATGCAACTCTAAGGCCAGCCGGTTTCAAGTGCGATACAGAATCAAAGTCCTGTGAACTATGCGAAAACGACGATGAAGGCTGTTCTGACTTCGCCAGCTGTGAGGACATCTGCAAGCTTAGCGGTAGGTAATTGGCTGCTTAAATTTATTTAACCATCTGTACCCGCAGGATCTGACATGCTGACAGCCATAAACAGAAATTTGTTGATGACGACCTTTAAATTAAATGATGATTTACTTCGACACTGCGACGTTTGCAATAGAGACAGACGTTATCTTTTATTTTTTTACGTTCATTGTCTGTGGTACAGTTAACGTGGCAATATGACCCTAATCTAATGATAATTCGTAAAACTTCCCAAACGTGCTTATTCCCGAAGACGTGAAATCGCCCACAAAAATCGATGTCATTTAACTGTAAATTGTTTTCAACCATTTGTGTAGCAACATCGGGTGTTTTAGACAAGTGTGAAGATCACGTGTGCTATTTGTGATGTGCACATAAAAAACCGGCTAAGACCATGTTGCTAATAAAAACAACGAAGCGCAATTATCATCTTCATCCATTGGATCCTGTGCTGAGTAGCGGAACGCAAATATATTTTGCTTCGCATCTCTGTTCACTGTATCATACAACAATCAAAAAGCCCAGGTCTGATTCTGAGATGTAGGTATTTGGTTGCAGGATTTAAATACATGATGTAGACCGGCGTGAATACTGTTTTACATGCTACTTTTCAACTGGTTTCAAAAGACTGCGGAAAAAGGATGCATATTATGATTTTTTGACAAGAAATATTCATTTGTACGAGAATGTTCTGCTATCAATTCATTTCATCTTTCGTTTGACAGTTTTGTATTCTTCAAAACTGTCGAGATACCACTTGAAAAACACCCTTCCTTCATTTGCTTACTTTTACAACTGATTAGAAGTCATTCCAAAACCGACGCTTTTTAAATGCGACAAGGAATCAGAGTCGTGTGAGCCATGCGAACACGATGATGAAGGCTGTTCGGACTTCGCCAGTTGTGCGGACAGCTGCAAGGGTGCCGGTAAGTGATTGACTGCATAAACTTATTTGACCATCTTTACGGGCAGACTCAGATCACATTACCTGCTAGGTGAATTTGCAAAAGTATGTTGATGACGACCTTTGAAATAAGCAATCATTTGCGCATTTGCGGAGGGGCCAGTGACAGAGATGGAATGTCCCACTTATTAACCTTCAGTCCTACATTTAAATAGCGCAATTTGCGCTTTAATTTATTACCAAATTTAAACAAACAGAACAAATTATTTTGTCTACTAGGAAAACTGTGTAAATGTTGGAAGCTTGACGGATATTGTTTCCATAAAATCGACATTAGAATCAACATTAGAGGCAACGACCGAAGGCAATAATTGACGTTGTTTGCAAAAACTAGAAGGCATCATGATGAACATGATAATCTTCTTGGATTCGTAAATGCCGTCTCGACAGTGTATTGTGAACAAAGGATTTCAACAGTTGATCTCATGCAAATTGCTGATAGAAAAGATAGTGACATTAGATTACGAAAGTGGGAGAGGGACATATAGCCATTGATTGTCAGATGACTTTTTAGAGACAGCCTCGTTAATGTCAAAAACTAATAAACCAAGTGAACATCGTCAACTATTCTTATGGGAAAGTGTTTACAAATGATTGCAGAAAAAATAAGAATTGGGTAATGCATATTCGGCTACAAATGATGTATTTAACTCGACGCAAGCGTACTTGCATTAAAAGAAATGGTGACTCGAACGATTTGCAGGATTAAAAGACATGCCTCCGCGAATTATAACTGATATATTTATTCTCTGTTACTTGTTTGCTGGCCAATATATCATAAATACTTGGAACTAGAGGAAGACTAACTACAGTGCGCGGTTGAATTGCAAATATGATAATAGAGGCATTTACGTGGAATGTATGCAAAGGGGATATATGTTGGCTAATCTTAAGCCGCTAGAACATGACCGTGGGTATTTCAGATTACAAAAGGATAACTAGCAAATCCGTCTTGACATTAGGTGATCTCATGAATAGTAGGCTCGACCATACGGACCGTAACGTAAAGACGACAGGCACGGAAATAACTACCACGTATGTGAACACTCGTTTGGCAGTTTTCATAAGCCGATTTGCACCAGCTTTTTCCAGTCTGTTGGGTGCTTAAAATGCGAGGGAACTGCGTTGATTCTCAATCATCAAAATCTTGATGGAAATGCAAACGCCGCAAGAGTGGCGTGCTGACAGACGATAATCAGGAGAAGTGAACGGCCAGTAGGACTGCATAAGGTGATTCAACTCGCGGGTCGTCGAAAATGCAGGGGATATCTTTGGTGATGTTCATCTATAGAGCAATAGAAAATTTTCTCTGCGCATCCAAAGCACAATGCCAACGATGAACACGGCATTGTATTCGACAGTGAGAATGCCGATTCTCACCGGACTAGTTGATCAAGCAATATCAGTAAGAGATTAAAGTTTAAGCCAAGAGACTGTCGCGTTGTAATTGGAAGCTAAAGGCGGCACTAATTTCCGTCGAAATAAAGACGTAGTAAAGAAAAAGGCCATATATGGATTATGCTGGTGGGTTAATCAGGGGAACAGAAGTAAGTGGGTTTATTTCATTGTGCAATAAGTAAGAGATGTCGTTTTTAACAGGGTAGATGCTAACTTTGCATCATAGACATTGACATATCCTGCAAAAATGAATACCCAATTTTTACTTCTTTCTAGACACATGAAATATATAGAAATAATATAAGCATCAGCGAATTTTCTAATTATGTTTAATTGTTTGCTGTCTCTAATGCACTGAACGAAACCGATGTACGACATAAAAAACACTTATATTTGGAAATGAAATTTATAGAACGTTGACCACCTCAAAAATTGGAGATTAAATACAAAGTCTTCCGTATTTGTTAGCATTGTCCAATTTGATTTATACCTCCGTTTCAAGTTCACTTTGATTTTTTATGACGCCTTTTTATCATCGTAATTCAATTTATCTCCTAGGCAAGTAGAAGTGTTTAAGAAAATCATTCCCCAGACAAATGCATTACTGAATACAAATAAGTGTGATTCGTATATAAACAATTAGGCTTTATTTCATTGGACGATTGACAAGATTAAAATCACAACAGGACGTTGAGGTTGTTCTGGACAGATAGTATGATCATTGCCAGTGCTATTGATATCGCGAATGACGGTGCATTTGTTGTTTTGGGCAAAGACTACATTTTTCTACCCGAGTTACCTGCACTTGCACGAGGCTGTGGAACAATACATAGCGTTAGATATTGTTGATGTCTATTTCAGTTGGTAGTGTGTGCATAATTCTGGAAAGTTAAAGCATAGTGTGAAAAGCGGCAAATCATGCATTTGCTAGTTTTTTTTATCTAAAACATGCACTTCAGTCTACGTCTGAATTATTTGATTGTTTTCCTACATTATTTATTTTTATTTTTTAACTTGTTGTGCATTGTCAGGTTCCATTCAGAAGCCCAAGCTTTTTAAATGTGACATGGACACCAAATCCTGCAACTTATGCCTCGACGAAACGAAGGGTTGTTCTGACAAACGCACTTGTGAAACGACCTGTAAGAGTGTCGGTGAGTGTTTTTAGGGAGTCACGCAATTTCAACAAACCTAATGACAAAAAGATACGACATGATTCCATAAAGATATGTGTGTGCACTTAACCTTACCGACCACTGCGTATTGCATGAGTTAATGAGTTCGGTCATGGGTTTTATTGTTGTCAACAAACATGTGTGCGGTGTAATCGTCTATATTTCCTTTTGAGAAAGGGGGAATAAATCATACGCATTCGTTTGGCCATCATCACGACAGACACCAGTTTATCACCAATCGGTGGATAAAGCACATGATTGTAAAGTAGCAAGTTAAGCTGGCCGAGAGATTGGAAAAAACCGGTTAACAGATTCGGTTGCGATTTATGGGGTTTGCTTATTTCCAGTAAGTCGGAAGATGGTGCAATCAAAAACCAAAAACCTTGCTGGTCTGAAGCATTATCGGATTATTCTCCATGATAATCTGTCGTACAGCCCTAATAACATAGTCTAACCAAATCTGAATTTTGGCGAAGATATTAAATGATCTGCCACTGACTGCAGATTCCGATTTCATAAACACACTGCACTTGGTGTGAGCTAGCTCATTCAGCAACTCTTTGCATTTTTCACTTTAGTACTTTTTATTTATTTTGAATGGTTAGACACTAATCAGAAACAAGACCTATACAAATGTGATCAGGAGTCCGAATCCTGTGAACTATGCGACGAGGCGGACGAAGGATGCTCTGACTTCGCCACTTGCGACGAAACCTGCGCAGGCGTATACACGTAGATGTATCATGACAAAGTCGATCAACAACTGCGAAAGGAAGATTGGCACCCCTCCCCCGTTTTCTAACGCAAATTAAATAAAATCCGTTGCTTGTTTTTTTGCTTTTATGTGCTTTAGGGATTTATCGCTAAGCTTTATTTTCCCGAGTTTATGTGTTCAATGATGCCGGACCTATTATCTTCATAATGTACTGACGAAAATAAAGTTTATTTGGGGGCGTTTTTTCAGTCCACTTGAAATGATCACCTGAATGTACTACAAAAAAGCCGCAAACTATCCATATTTGGATGAGGGATTTCAATAATTTCGACTCCGTACATAGTGAATTTCGTGTTTTCATTGACGATCTGTGGTATATGGAGCTTGTAGAAAGTTAGTTGATGCTTGATCCCCAGTTTTAAACAGCCAAGGCATGCAGCAAAGCACGCCATTCTTAAAGCAATTATCCCTTGCAGATGTCAAAACGTGTTTCAAAAAGTCAAGTGCCTTAATAGATGTGCTATCTGTGTTATGAAACTAATGATCAATAGTCAGCTACGTCAATGGAAATAATGTTTACTTAAGTTGTATTTAATGTTTGAAATGCATTTATGCCTCACATGTACCTTGAGTCAGGCCTCATAACCATCTAAGACCATCAGCTCTATGTTTATGTAAATAACTAAGAAATGCAAGTATTATTGCCTATGTACTTATTGGGCCCTTTTACACCACTTCAGAAATCCGCACATATTTTGTGAACCTGTAAGCAACCTTAATGATTTAGAGGTTACGTGCACTGACATTTCGTTATTTATGTGACTGGGTTTCATTTGTTTAAAATAAAAGAAAATGCGTATTTGTATGTCTACATTGAGAACGGCGTGCTGGACGTTTTTTGATGCCAGCACACATAATGGTGCAAAGCCCTGCTTCCACAGGCTTATAAAACTAATGTTATGTTTACTTGCAATATGAAAAAAAGTTAGTTTGCTCATGGTTACATACAATATGCATTTTAATTAAACCATTAAAAAGATAGCACTGAATCGTCACAGTGTTGCCGGCAAAAACGCAGTTTATGAGCCCCCATTAACAACTGTGTATACCCCATGGCAACCGACGGGCACCGAGTTCATAGCTCATTGTATAGGGTGTTTGACTTCTAACCACGAGGCCGCTAGATCAGACACCACATTTCGGGCAACTCGGATGATCTTTATGGTTTACTTTTGACTAACTATAGACCAGAAGCTGCTGTTCAAGCTTACCTTGTCTCTCCTAGTAATATTTCAAATGTTTATATCAGACGTATACGGATGGTGGGCTAATTCATGAAGTGTCAACCGACATTTCCAACTGCGTACTCGTTTCGAAAAGATTAATTAAGAAGGGTCGTAGATCTGCTCATCTTGCAGCGCAGTTCTATAATGATTTAGTTATCGAAGGTTGTCAGCTTTCAGAAGAACTTATGTATACTTTAAAAAATGAACACTAATGCCCTTGAAAATGCAAATACATTTTTAAAGAAAGCGTACATAAAAATATTCATTCTTTTATATATTCTGTAGAAAATGACGTATCCAATTGATTCTATACTCCAAAGTGGGGTATAATTCGGTTGGAAAAATTGTCTACTTCCCGAATAGATTTGAAAGTGAACTGTCGTTACACCTGCTGTCAGGGTTTCATATATACGAGCAGTATATTTTCCGGGTACGGCAAACCATAGTTTACTACGGAATTAAGAGCGGACTATATAGGGTTTAATAAAATAAAGCAGCGTATTCGAGCAAAATTAACTTTACCGGCTAATTTCGTAAATGAAGTAACATGACGTTTTATGAAAGCTTATTTCACGGTTTTAGAAAATCTCACAACTAGAGACATTTTGAAACCGTTTTTTTAATTTTTTCGAGAATAAAATCTGAAGGAGACGTGATCGTTTACGGAATAAGAAAGAGGATGAATAGTTTTATGCATGTTTTCCATGAAATAAAATTGGCTTTTTAAAGGCATGTAAAGTCAGTGAAAAAATTTATGCTATTTAATTAGTCATTTTTTCGCAGAGTATAGTTATCGAATGCAGACGGAAGGCAGTGCTTTCGAAGGCCGGCATCCTGGAATAACTGGATAAGCATAGGATTTTGGTGCAAGTTGATTAATTTTACAACCCCGCGTAATAATTTTTTTTTAAATGCGATAACGCATTTCAACATTTTGATTGACATTTCATGAGTTAGCCCACCAACTGTGGGGTCGACCCACTTAATTATTTTGAGTCAGCGTGATTACGTTGGCATGGTGTTGCTGTGCGTTGTGCTAGGTGTTCTGTTGGCGGGCTTGTTTACTTGTTGTCATGTCTATATTTTTGGTTCGATATCTGTGACCCTTCTGGAACTTCGACCAGTCACCCCTTGTACCTTACCTGCCGGATGTTTCAGATTAAGAGTTTAGGAATGCGGTTAAAGGTTAGCGTTGAAGTGTTAGGGTTTGGGTCGGGGTTACGGCTAAAGGGTTGGATGATACGATACGGGGTTATGGTATACGGCTAGGCATAGGCTAAGGGGATTTGGACTTATAGTTAGGCCTTTGGGTTAACGGTGATGCTTAGGGGTTGGGGTTAGGGATAAATGTAGTTATTTTCCAACCATTCAAAGTAGAACCAAACATCCTCAGTAGCTCTCATTTTGCAAAATCGACCTCGACTTCTGTGCGTTGCTATGCCTCACCAGCTCTAATTGTTTACCTCACGTTCGGCTACATAACCAGATCTTACCGACAAAAAGCATTAACTTACAAAGACCAATGCATCATGTATCGGAGTGAATGTGTGATGTCCATGTCAACACCGCGGTTGGGCCAGTCACCCCCAGAGAAGTCGAAGCTACCTTTTATTTGGGCATTTAATGCAAAAGCATTTAGCCTAATTTCGGTTATGTCCGACAGTTAAACAGAAACCTTGTTTCAAACAGTTTGTCCAGAAAAATCGCAATATGTACATTCTAAGACGCTAGAATTTGCCCTGATCTTTATGTTTATTTGGCATTTATTGGCAGTGTTATTTAATATTTGATATGTTCAAATATTTTTGTGGTTCTACGTTAAATATGTGCGTCCGTCTGGAAGTCTTTTGATGTGCTCTTGGTGGTATTCATTGGTGCGCTCTCTCTAACTGCGTCCTATGTGACCAAATCTGCGAGATGTTGCCGTACCGGTGCGAAAAATTGCATTAGCTAGAGTGAGAATTACTTGCCTTGGGGATAATTGTTTCGTTATGCACATAGGTAGTGCGCAACATATTTGAAATGTCGCAATGGAATAAGTCCACAAATTCAATACAGATTCCTGCAGTTTTCTGGGTAAATATTTACTATAACGCCAGCGTTTTTAAATATTTATAGGTTTCCTCACTGGAAATGACATTCGAAATTGAACTATTTGTACTATATAAGAAGGTGTGTGCAAAAGCTTCAAGAACCATCAAAGGCATGCTAATACTACTGAAGACGGTTTCGGAACATGACGCCGTGCTGGGCGTTTTTTTAAATTATTATTCACTAGAAAGCGTATTCTTTAAAAAATTGATTTTGTTAGTAGCCTGCGACATACAACTCTCCCTCTCTCTCGTTTGCATCGTCAGCAATTGTGTTTACTTAATATTACTCTACGAACTCGTAGTGAGGTATTGTCAGAGATTGTTAGCACTGCTTTGGTGAAAAAAAAATCAGCATTGATGTTTACATTAATTTCAATTCAATAACATAAAATTATAGTTGCCTTGCTTAATTTCCATGGAAATTAATGCGCGAACTTGGCGTAACTCTTTCGAAACAGGCCTTTTCGGGCACGGTCCGAAATTTGATATGAATATTTGAGCTGAAATCCATCAGCTACTGCGGAATAACCGCTTAATATTCACAATCCGCCAACAGGCAGCCAGAAGTATAGCATTGTGCAATAATTTACCGTACTTACAACACAGGTATTAGCTAAAAGCCCAGACACGCGTGTTTCGCCGATCTTGTGCCGCTGCCTGACTTAGCTGCGATGGGTCCGCTCGTCAGTGGGTCCCCCAGCTTTCCTGTGTGTTTTCTGGTATATGAACTCCAGTTTTAACTTGCCTTGCTTTATTTCTGAGAACAATATAGAAAAATATAGAACATGATAAAATTACCAACGACTGCAATCCTGCTACCTGAAGTCTTCACCGGTATTCAATGAAACATGACCCTGAGCTTCAATCATTTCATTAAATAAAGCTAGTTATTAGGCGATGCTTATATACGAGCTCACTTTGTAAATGCTGATTAGACACGGACAGTCTAGACTTAGTCCATTGCCGACTTACTGCATCATGCATTTCGATTTTAGTTGTGTTCACTGATTGGCCATATCCCTCACAACTGTGTTAAACGGCGGCAGAATATGGATTAAACACGCACTTATGGGCCATTTACTAGTACCTGTACTAATAATATGGAATCCACATACCCTAAACTATAACACTAATTGTCTCTTCGTAATTAATGAATATGACCCGCAGTGGCTGATGGACCTCGCCTAAATAATTATATACAAAAAATTGGGTCTCGGGCTATAGACCTGGCATATACTGATCTTATTAAAGTCCGCAATTAAGTTTCGAGGAAACTAGACAGCAACCGTTTCTATGTTTTTTGCCAAATTCAGATTCCCGTCGAATTAGAAAATTATGAAATCATATTCAAAAAGATTAATCACGCTATTGGCCATTAGGCTATGCAAACTGAATTCAAGAACTACTTATCGCAACTTACCGCACCGTGGACAGTTCTTTGCGTTAAACGGATAATAACACTGCAGATTGTGCCCCTAATAAAACAAGGCACGAAATGGGTAATCTGTGCAAGTCCCAAAAATAGTTTATAAATGCATATTTATGTTGCCGTGTTGGCATTCAACGATGATTGCATATGCAACAGACACGGTTGCATATTACACTTCTCGGATTAAAATATTGTGTGCTTATATCACGACGTGCCTCAGGAAACCAACGAAAAATTCGTTGCCAGATCTGTCGCACCTGTTTCCATTCTTGCGGATGCGTTTGCTTTTTCAATTGTATATGCGGGCCCTGTGCATCCTCCTCCTTCTGACCTGACTACCAATTCAACGATTACCTGAACCTCACAGTCGCTCCAAGACATGGGTTTATGTTGAGTGGTGGACTGGTGGTCTGTCAATAAGACCACAATGGACCATCCATGCTGTATCCTATGTGAAACTCCCAAGTTAGCAGCAGCACACATCGTCCATGTTTTTTGATGGAGTCTAAATCCTGCTCAGTGTGCATTGCCAATCAAATTTGTTGTTGCACGATCGCGCAGCGTCAGTTCAGCTTCCAAACACTGCGCTCTTATTTTTCATTGTGGTCACGGGGTTATGATTGCACGTTTGTCTCTAGGTCAGGCTATGCCAGTCGCAATGACTATATCTTAACAGCGGTCTCAGGTTGAGGAGACATGAAGCGTGCGGTAGATCATGTACAGTAGGTGGCCTAAGTCATGAAATGTCAGCCGTAATTCCGAAATATGTTTCCGTTTCGAAAAGACGAATTAAGTAAAGTTGTAAAACTAATCGTAATGCAGCTTAATTCCACAAAAAAATTAGTTATCTTAGGGTATAAACTTTGAAATGAACTTCATTTAGACTGCATGCAAAAACGGCACTCTGCAAAAAATACCTACAAAATTTTAGAATCCGTGTCAAATTGTTGTTGTGGACAAGGGCGTTTGATGTACGCCTAGTTGTGGATAAGGCCATGCCAGTCACATGCGCCGACTCCCGTTATCATTCGAAATGACTATCTTAACACCAGTCTCAGGTTGGGGAGGCATAGAGAGTGCGGTATATCGTGTATATACAGTTAGTCAACTAACTCCTGAAATGTGTTGAAATGTACTTATGATTGCCAATCACTCGCAAACGGACACTATTTCATGAGTCGAATGTCTATGTTCATTATGCACAAGTTTAAAAGAATCAAAGACATGAAGGATATACTATAGGCAGTGTTGTGTTGTTAAGAACTGTCAATTTGTTTTGAAAAGCGAAATATCTCGAAAGCGTCAGAAGTGTTCGAAGACAAACATAGGGTCTTCCGGAGAGCATATCTTCAAATCAAATCTTAATTTTTCCCTCCGCGTTGAGACCTTTTTGCACTTAAGTTCGTAGACGTCTTTATTGCCTCCGCCATTGGTGTCCGTATTGCATAACCCAACTCATAATATGGCGATTCATTGATGCTTGTATTCCTCCTCCTATTATGTATTCATCTCTTGTTATTTATCCGGCTTTGTTTAAAAAATATCTGATAGCATTAACACAAGTTCTTGGAATGTCTTATTTAACTGTCTATGGAAATCGGCTTTGGATCATAAATTTACTTACAGGCTGTTCAAACGAGATGTCTAATTCTAACTTAATAACCCTTTGGAGATGCCAACAAGCATTAAGACCAAGGAATGTTGCCTCAAATGGTATTCTATCGAATGACCTATCTTTCCGTACCCTTACAAAAACTTGCTTTTTGTTTCATTTCGCAGAATTGAAGATATCTTTGTCCACCTGTAACTGTAACTGCAACTGTAACACTCTCTCCATGTACCGTTAAGACTCACACATTTGCATATGGCTTCACAAAACGTCCTCAGCGTATTCTCAGAGAGTTTTTGGTTTCATAACCGCGAAGGAAAGCTGCTGTGCAATCATGAGTAGTACTTCACATTTGTGGACCGTTGTATGGTCGCGAAAACTGTTATGGAAAAATTTAAAATTATTTCTTGACGAACATGCTTGCGGCTTCAGTGTGATGTCATTAAGCTACCCGCATTATAAGGGAACGAGGTACTAGTGAAACCTATAAGAAGAGTGTCTATCTTAGTGAAAATTTATTCGAACTAATCTGCCATAATAAGTGGATCAGAACTACCTGAAGAGAGCTATTGTACTGATTTGCCTACTAATCGTCCTTTAGCGGGCCATATTACATGACGCATTTTGGGAAATATATGTGCTAAAATAGTAATCAGCGTTTCAATAAAACTTGTAAAAATGTAACGAAAAGTAAAACAATCCGTTAATTTAGGCCACAATTTTCTACAGTGGTGACATGCAATTAATTCGCATTCGGGAATTTAAGTAGATCAGCGGAGCAAACGTGCATATTCTTCAAAAGCGCATGTCTAGGCGTTTGAAGTGTGTTTTAGAATACTCTATTGAATGTAGCAACGACAAGAAATTCAGGGAAATGCAGGTAGACCAAAGGATTTTTCAGACAATGCTGTCTTCTGCACTCAGTTCGATCGGACGCGGAGGCATCAGTGATTAACGCTGAGGGAGGCTCTTTGACGCACATTGTTGGTGCTTACCTCGAAATAAGCCTTTTTTTCTTATTTCTCTTCATCTTGAATGGCCATTTACCCAAGAAATTGATTTAATTACGTAGTGAGCTTTCGAGATTGCTTTCCTTCGTTTGCGGACTTGTATGCTTCGTGAGACTAAATATATTATGCTTGTCCTACAGTTACACTCAAGCCACATATCCTCGAAGATGAACTACAGATTTAATCGCATATATAATCATAACGTTGTCGGACAAAGCGAATACACGAACTAGGGAAACAGTTTCTGTAAACAGAATATGATGGCTACGACAAAAGTTATTTGGCCTATGTTTTGGAATTTCCCTTGACTCTACCATCAGATACGACTGTACATGAAGATATTAGAAGCATAAGGAAGGCGTAACTTAAAACGTGCATTTTTATACACCCGAATGCATAAAATAATTAGCAGTCTTTATACTTGTTATTCAGAGAGTGGTCTATTAGAAGGATTGTTTGTCAGCTCGCATCTAAGTAGGCCACCGCCGCGGTTTCATCACCCATGTTGATGCTTCGCGCGTTGCTATGTAAGCTATTCGGTTTAATATGAATAAATGCTCGCCAAAAATATGCTGTCAATGTCATCTTTATTATTTAGTCAGACGCTCCGAAGATAGACAAAGCAAATATACGCTAGGTAAGAACTGATTATTATAAACAGTAGTTATTGCAGACAGGCTTGATTAAAAGCAATCATTCTGAAGCGACCAAGGTATTTCGGAATAGTGCTGCACAGTTATTAATACAATAACACTTCTAAGGGAAGGTAGGACATTTCAGCAATTTGGTTAGTATTTCAAAATTCACCATATGTCCTGAATTTGAAACGCCCGAACCTCAAACATTTCTGGTCACTGACATTGGAAAGCCCTACATTCAAAGAGCATATTCTTCTAGACGACAAATGTAACTTCAGTCGTAACAGAAAACGGACTTCAAAGCAAGCTTAATTCAAGCGCCGACGTCACGCTAACTACTGGGTCTTAACGTGAGAATGAGAAAGTACTTTGCCGCATATTAGATTCTTTGAGTTGCCCGACGTTAAATGTGTGAGAACGTCTTGCTGCAGTCTGTGAGAGAACATTTGCAAGAGTATCTCAATCGCACCTAAATGAGTGGACGTAAATCAAGTTTTTAAGAGCTACATGTCCGTTCTTGAGCCAGACAACATCACAGTTAATTTCAACTAAAAATAGGAAACCATTGTTGTGTTTAAAGTAGTATATAATGTTTTGCGGGCGGGCACAACTTTCGAAACTCCACCACCTGCTGCGTACACTTCACCACAGATGCCTACTCTCTAGCCGCGCAAATTAACGAATATGCCTGCGAACTAAAGTAAACGACCGATGTTTTGTTCGGTGTGGTTTGTTATCTTTTACGTTCCGTGGCAATAACTCAGTCACTTCCATGCACAGCACTCGGCTCATTTTTGTCTCTTGACAAAACAGACTGGTCAGACACATAAAAAACCACAAAGGCGTCTCACAAAGAAGAAGATGCGTTATTACCGGGACAGTCCGTGTACTAACTTGAGCTTCCTGTCTTGTACAGGAAACCATCCCAGCGACAAATGAACGCTTTGGTAGCCAAACAAGGAAGAGGGAAATAGGAGTGCGGAGATGGTGTTCGCTATAGGGCGGAGTCTTACGGCGGCATGACAGAGTGTACCATTGGCTCCGGACTGCCCGTCATTCGGTCTGCCCTGCGTAATGGTGAGGGCAGGCCCGCCATGGGATCTGATAAACGGTTCGCAATTCTTTTTTCCTGTGTCTACTCGGTCCATAATTTGCAAGATTTTCTTGCGCATGGTCGCTTTAGGACGGTGAACGGTATCCACGCCGAGGTCTCCAGCGGTTAGATGCATTGTTTTGGACAAAATATTTATATTTCACAAAGCAGGTCACATAGCTGGCGGCTCACCTCCGGTTGTTTGCCGTGCATTCTTGCGGAGGATGCAGCTGAAAAAAAGATGTTTGGGTATCCATTCCATGCTCGTTAATTTTGAAGATGCCGCAGTTCTCGTATTCGACTCTTCGATTCACTTCAGTGCGTTTTTACTCTTTGGAAAAGTGCCTTACTAAAGCTGTGTTTAAGCGTATTGAGTCTTTTTTACGGTGTCTGAGAATCTAAGTGGCATAAGTCTCTTTTCTATACACTGTTCTGCTGAGTAAGCGTGCGACGAAAACGTAAAAGAAAGGCAACTGTTTGGCTTGTTCTTCTTCACTGTTGAACTTAATGTCGGGGAAGATGCCGATGGACGGGTCTTGAGTTTGCTAATATATCCTTCTCAAGAACAAACAACGTTTCCTCTTCATACTGGTCCCAAAACACAAGTCCATGGTGGTCGAAACGGCTTTCTTTATTTCACGCAACCAGGCCGGGCACTGGTAAAACCATCAATTATCGTTTGATCTGCTCTGCCATTGAATGCAAAAAGAATTTGCTGGCAGAACGGAAATCATTTCCGTAAATGCTCGATTTTTAGGGGAACCTTCGTTTCGTCGTAGTTTCTTGGAACCGTTTGCGTTAGGCGTCCAGCAACAACTATATCAACAGACAAGTGCATATGCTTCCCTTGCTATCACGCGCTCCGTTCCCGCGGCCAAGAGGTGAGACCCAATTCGCAGCCAAGGGTGCGCGCATTCACGCTGCAGGGAAACAGCGCGGGAGTCAGCTTGTGACGAACACCACCCCCTGCACTGGTACCCCCTTCTTTGTTTGACTACAAAGGCTACTCATCTGATGCCGCCTTCTCACAGTCTTCGACGATGGCCTCCTGTATGAGACCCAAAGCTCAGAGGAAGGCAGCTACTTTGCCGGTGATCGTGTGTTCACCTCTTCCACAGCATTCAGTTTATGCTTATTGAAAAAGCCTTATGATTTATAGACAGGCGACTAACACGACTCAGATTCTCAACTAACATAATAACCACCCAATGGTGCATAAACGCAGCTATGCTCAGACACTCTTCCAAGGAGTAAAATCGACATACAAGGAAGCAGAAGGAAGAGCAGGAGAAATACCACATCCTCGGGACCAACCGTCAGGAAATGGATATCCCGAACAGATTCGTCAGCCACTGCCTCCGCACGCACCCACCCACGGCGAACAAACGGAGGAAAGCCGCCAAAACTTAAACACCCTCTACCAGAGTTTGTGCGAAGCAAGAAAACGGATCGCTTGAGAGGTCGGCGTGCGTAAAGCTTACCGTCCGACAGCGACCATATGAAGGACCGACCATATACATGAGGACATTCTCGTGTCGTTTATCAGATCTTATGTCGACATTGGCCTCACCTCTACACAGGACAGACTGGACGACGGCTTAGCCCACAAATGACGGAGCATAAACGGGCGGTCCGGAGAAGCGACCCGTTGTCTCAGGTTGCAACTGACATCCTGGAGGGAGGCCACGAATTCAACTTCGCGAGCACGCGGATAGTAGCGCGGGTCAGCAATAAGAGAGGGCAAATCTGCTGGAGGCCTGGGTGACTGACACAAACTCTCTCAACAGGCACGTTCATATACCCCCCCTAGCTATCACGCGCACCGTTCCCCCGGTCAAGAGGCGAGACCCAATTCCTAGCCAAGGGTGAACGCATTCACGCCGCGGTGAGAGCGCGTGGGGCTCAGCTGAGAGCGAATACCACCCTCAGCACCCCCATCTTTCCCTCCGCCCCCCCTTAATAGCTTGACCAAAATTATTATTGGATCTGCTCATATGTTCTTTCATTGAAGACGAAATGGAACTTGTTGGCAGAGAGCGAATAATTGCCGTAAATGTTCGATTTTTAGAGAAACGTTCGTTTCGTTTGCGATGGGTGTCTAACATCTTCATCAACATGCAGGTCGATGTACCCCTGTTATCACGCGCGCCGTTCCCGCGGCCAACGTGACTGACCCAATTACCAGCCAAGGGTGCACGCATTCACGCCACAGGGAAACGGCGTGCGAGTCGGCTTATCTCGAACACCACCCCCCGCACTCATATGCCGCCCTTCTTTTTTTACGACGAAGACTGCTCATTTGATGCCGCATTCTCACACTCTTTGAGGATATCCCGTTCTTCTAGACCGAAAAACCAGAGGAATGCACGTACTGTCGTATTGATCGCGCGCTCATCTTCTTTGCAGCAACAATGCGGGACTAACATATACGCTTTCATCCGTGACCACTTTTGAAATTGTGCCTGTAATTTCTTTTGCAGGCGTAAATTATGTTCCCCTTTAATAACCGCTAATGTTTAACATTTTGCCGCTTATTTCCTATTTTTATTTGTTTTATTGGAAAGTGTAAATTGTATACGGGCGTTATTATTTAGAGCGTTTGTCGTTTGCGCAGCGTACGGTCAAGATGCACTTGATGTTGAATGAGACAAACAACTCCATCTGATTCCTCTCATTTCGTACAGAGCACCGATGGCTCCATAGTCTGCAGTTAACGGGACCACAGCTCTGCCAATAGTGCAGAAATGGTTTAGACGTCTTTTTTGTAGACATTTTTTTCTATCATAGAGTTTTTAAAATTGCGTAGTGGACAATAATTCTAAATCCGTCATGCTTCTTCCTCTTGATCTGGACGCAAACAAGGTTGTGCTCTGGAACAAAATAATTCCACACTTCTCGGTGTCTAATGGAAAACTTTTTTGCAATGAATGCTTGCAGTTTTATGTTCATTCTAGTACCACGGATGTATGTTAGATTGCACATTAATAAATCCATGTATGCATACAATCCTGACTCGCAAAAGCATGTTTCTCGTGCCATCTAGACAAAGCGCCTGATATTTTGTAGGAAACGGCGACCCTTTTATGCGGTTCTTGTTTTTAGTATGCAGTTTTGCTAAACGAAGTTAATCATCGAGTTTTAAAAGCAGCTTTGTTATAAGTGTCATGTAGATGTTTACTTAGTCATTAATTTCCGTCGTATCATTTAGCAAGTGGTAAAGGCACAATTTACACTTTAAAAAGCTCAAAAGTGCGTTATTGATGATCCCGAATTTTGGTTACATTTACACTATAGATTGTTTAAAAATCAGTCAGATGAAGATCGCGGTCTCTACGATCTTAATATATAGAATACATTCATTATATTTTTTAAGGAATAGAATTAAAAAGCCACATCCGTACTTAACTTGAAATTATGTTTAGGGAGAACGAGGCGAGTTAGTGATCAAATGGGAAAACGACGAATTCGTTTTGATGATGATGATGATGATGATGATGATGATGATGATGATGATGATGATGATGATGATGATGATGATGATGATGATGATGATGATTATGATGATGATGAACTTAAATAAATCAGATTTACATTTGAAACTATTTTACAAACACTTTTTTAAGCTGACAGCACTATTTAAGCAGTAAATATTAAGTAAGGTGATAAGGTGCGAAACGCCTTTAGGAACGAATGCCGGATTTCACTGACACATGTTTACTTGCCATTTCTCTTCTAGTCATAAGTTACTTTGTATTTGTAATTATCTCTAATATTAAAATGCATCTGCCACCTTTTTGTATTGCGCATTTGTCATTTGGCAGACTACACAGACATTTTGAGACGTGTGGCGATTTTCATTTGCTCAGGATATGGTCGAGATGCCATTGGCATCAAATTACACCTAGACAAACGCCTTGAAAAAAATAGGTTTGCTTATTTTGGAACCGATAATAATAATAAGTTGTCTTTAAACCAACCTGCTGGCACTACTGCTGATCGTATAGACCTAGACGTGATTGTCAGGTTTCCAAGGTTTTTCTCTTTAATCATGTAATTCATCATAATTGTAGGCAAAAAATACTACCAAACCCGTCATGCCTATCATTTTTGCTCTTGGCGTAAGGGAACTCATGTTCTGCAAAGTAATATTTTTGCAATACTTATTTGTTTCATTAGAAACAACAGTGGAAACGATTGTAGGGCATCGGAATGTTCCGAATTATTGGGGTGTTCTGAAAGTAGTTGTGTTTGTATCCCATCAGGAAATATGAGTTCAGTGGCCGTTATATACTAAGTGCTTGATCTTTCATCACCCCGGTCCTATATGGCATTATCACTTCATTCAAATAAGACTGCTAGACTGAATTCACATTAATGTAAAAGAGAGGTCTCGCAATAAGACTTGGTTAGATATCTCACACATATATCCAGCGCTATTTAGTTGATCGCGTACATAAGCACTACGTCTAGAGTGTTTTGTCTAGAAAGGCAAAGGGTGCATTGTTGCAGATTTTACAAAGCAACTCAACTTAAATCAAGCCTAGAAAAACATGTAGACTTTGAAACGCGACATTTCTTCCTCCCATATACCCTACGCATATTAATCTGTGCCGAACAGTAACGATATATAACAGGAAAAATATTGGGAAACCGTGGGAGTTAAACATAGACTTAAACAGGTTTTTTTCTATAAAAGTGTGATTATGATATTCTATCACCTCGGGCTAATATCCTAGTAAGTATTGACCACTCCATTTAAGATTAAATCAATTTTAATGGATGTTTAATTTGTTTTCATGACCTGCGATGGTTCGACTGAACTCATTAACGAACTGAATTAGTTTATATGCTTATATGTTTTTTATGGAAAGTTCGCGTATTCTCCGATCTGGGATATTTCACGAAATGGTACACTTCATACTGCGAAACGCAACTAACCCGGCTGGTGGCTTGCTTAGTTGTTAGGAATAGGATGTGCATTCGGGGTTCTACTACTATGCTGCGATTGTATCTTGGCGGCATTTCATTGTTTACATGCATGATGAGGTGGCTTTTGTCAGTTGTAAGCATTAGCAAGTTCCAGTTTTTTATCAGCATCAGACGTTTACATTAGTTTCTATAGCCTGCGCCGGTACTGTTTATCATTTTGACAACCCTGCACATCTATCTAAAATACGAGATTGTTTTAAATACTTCGAAGGCAACCCGCGTATTCTTTGATCATGTATCTTCGACGTAATCGTATACTTGACAAATGCAGTACGTTTTCCAAATTTCCTCAAAACAACATCAAAACATTCAAATTCCACAAACGTATATTGCACAGTTTTAATATGCAGCGAACAGCTTTTGATGTCTTTTTAACTATTTAATGTAATTCTGATTAATAGAAGGAGTATTAAAAGGGATTTCCAGGGTCGCAATGGGTACTTGCCGCTGAAAGAAACTCGTAATATTTTGAACGGGGGGCGTCGATTTCCTGGTACCATTTTAATCAATATGGGATTCGCTTCGGAAAAATGTAGCCTGAATTTGAAAGTTGTGTTGCCCATGTAACCCGTCAGCAGGACGGCGAGTTGGTTTTGATATTGCGCATCAACTGAGGGGTAAGGAAATAAAGCACGTTTAGCACTGTATTGAGCAGGCGGCCGAGTTTAATTCTGAGTACCATAGGTCGGTCGCTAAGGCAAACTTGATATTCTGCCGTGTTTTAAAACACAAATAATGTGCAATGAGACGTTTTCGTCATAAATTAGCTTTTATATTGTGGCAGGCATTTAGGCATGTATTCTACATACGTAACGTTACCAAAATACTAAATATGACAATGGGGATGTGTTTTCTGGCAAAACCTGACTGGCTGATAATTAATCTGGTCAACCATGTCAATAATGTTTTTTTTTAATTTCTTGAAGTTTCAACGTATTATGTCGTGCGATTTCTTCCAGAGAGGATTTTTCATTAAAAACTGCGTTATGTTCACTCATTCTATTAGTAGGATTTCCGTAAAGATGTTTTTCCAGTAGATCAACAAAATTAACACAGCCATGTGTTCACAAAATATGAAAGGTCAGCTTTTTCGAAATCACTTATACGAAGGTAATTTTAAACGATATTTACGGTTTGGAATTGTCAAAGAATGCTTATCGTAAGTCGGATTGGATGCATTGTAAGGCTCAACTCCTCCAGACGTGCTTGTGTCCTAAAGAAAACAACAATATTCGTTGCATGCGTAACGGCTTAATTTGAACTTTTTTCGAGTCACCATCGTTTAGTTTGCATTTATATTCAAGCATGTTTGGCTTACCTTAACGTACTCGGAGTACCAAATGAATACTGGAGGCCCGTGTTTGGTGTCCACTTCAACTTTTGTAATTACACCAACATCACTTGGCACTAAGGGATCTATACAGAGGAATGTACATCTGACGCTGACATTTATTTTTAACAACAAGTCATATATTTTCATCGCAAACGAATTAAAACTACATAATTTCAAAATTGACTCTCATTCGTTTATGTGCTTACTTTACTAATCAACATCATTCCGCAAATGCAATCCCACGTTCGCGCGTAACTATTTTTTTCAAAATTAAGAGCTAACAATCGGTGGCACAGATATGAATACGGCAACGTTTGCGTCAAAAAGACTGACCTGTAATCCGCGAACTTCCGCCTACCTCGTTGACAATGACTGCAGACCGTGATTTCGAATTATCACATGGAGAGGCAAATATAATTCCTGAACCGGCTCCCCGGTGCCCACGTAGAATAGCGTACTCCCTGTCTGTCAAAGAAAAATTGTTGGCAAATTAAGCAACGAGAAGCACGACAGTGCATGGAAGTGGTTTTTGCGTTAATGAACCTTTATGTCCTATCTGGGAAAAAAGAGAGCATGTGAAATAAAAGAGCTTACCCCCTAGAGGCTGCCAGCATAATTGACCGACCGTGCAGGGTTTGCCAATCGAACCTTCGGGAACTGAATTATTCCCTATTGTGACGATCTGTAATGCAAAAAGGCGTCTAATATTTCGTCCATTATGGGTTCAACGTAAGATATGCGCATTAACAGGGCTTACCTGCGGTCTCTCCGTAGAAAGATAAAGAATTGTAAATGACGCATTGTATGCTGTTGTAACAGTGTACTCTTTAGTGCCTATGTAGTGTGCAAAAGATGTTGCGCTTAAAAGAACAGCATGCTACTGACTTTTGACTAAACATAGACTTTACTCAAAGACATTTAATGGTATTCTAATAGTTCACATACAAATCCCGCAGGTGACGATAGTAAGGAGAATGCTGGCAATGAGCATTGGCGCTGAAATGCAATAAAATGGAATTTGAGACCGAAAAAAGCATATTTGTGCCAGTGGTCTTAGCGCATAGGTATAACTCACTACGATAGGAACATGGAATGCACGGCAGACGGCTAGGCCTATGTGCTTATATATCTATGTCTATATGATCAACAGTGGGTGTGCAATTAGAACTGTGAAACTCAATAGCATGTGAATGACAAGCATAAGTGGATTGCTAGCATTCTCAGTGAGCACAGTAGCTCTCTTGATGGGAAATGTCCCACAGAAGATCGGTTTAGTGCATTAGCTTGAGAAGACATCTGATAAATCATTGCTCTAGGTTATGCAATATTCCGCGACTGAGGTTTTACAGATAACCCTTTAGGTACACAAAATACTTGGGTGTGTCTTATTTTAAATAGATTGGTCGCCTCTGACAACTTGATAAAAGCAAATCCGACTTTTTGGGGAGGTTTCAGTAGCCAGAGTATCCCAAACAAATAATGTCTCCGACCCAAATAAATTTAGTTGGCAAAAGACGAACTGTTATTCGGCAAGTAGCGAGATTGTGACATGACGCCTAGCTAGACAAAAAACCTCTTTCTTTTTGGAAAACCTTAAGATTTTGTAATTATGTAAATATAGTTGATTGGAGTTTGTGAAAATGATACGTGATGCCGTTATTGTCAAATATCGTTTGTTTGGGTTATTTAACATCATACGGATCTGCAGCTCGACGGGCGGTGAATTTACAGTCAGATGTCCATGACCATAGCGTATAATGTTTAGGACATTCACGGCACGGGATTTGAAAGAGTACATTCAAATCCGTAACTGAACCTATCCACTCCTTACTTTGCGTAATTCTGCGGTACAAAGCAGCTTTTGGAGAAACATAAATATCTATACTGAAGCATGCAACGATGCAATCACTTGATTCTGACGCCTTTGATTAAGGATAGAGGCGCTTCAGTTTGTTCCCCTACATGCAGCACGAAAGAAGCCGAAAACGAAACTGTTTGAGTATCTGTTTGTTGCCAGTGGGTCTCGAAGGCGGCGTAGTCCAAGCCCTCGTCCCTCCAGTCAACTTCTTTCCTTTTTGCTCATTGAGAGAATATCCTATCGCAAGCGCGTCTGAGCGCCATGGGGGGATTGTTATGGAAGTTAGGAAACTTAGTTCTGTCAGTCGCCGTTGCATACATTTCGGTGACAGGTTTTCCATCTGGCCTGCATTTGACCAGAACGGCAATGAGAGGCAACTCTTGTACATTCCCTTCTTCTCTTCTAAGCTAAATGTTGACGCAGTTGCAGTCAAATAGTTCTTGAAAGTCGACTTCTCGGCTGCTCTCACTTATAACGGACGCGTCGTCCACGTATTGGCGACAAAAGTAGGGCTTTGGTTGTTAAAAGCGATTCTTTCAAATCTTGTCAGACCGGTTCCGAAATTCGACCGGATACCTAGGAACCCGTCAGCATCTTTGTTATCCGCTCGCATGTTCTGCCACTAATGTTGTAAGTGATTCTTTTGTCGAACATGAAGGGTAACAGCAAACAGTCAATATTATGACCACTCCTAGTATCGTCGTGGAACGACACGTGCCTAAGCCGGGTGAATAGATGAGAATGATGAACCCGACTCCATGATTTACCACGGAAGACGGGCAGGCGTATGCTGGCCGAGCCGATGTTGGTTTCCGATCTGAGAAACTTCGAAGAAATTAAATATGGGATGTGCGTGATCCCTCAAATCAGGCTTGTGGTTATCTGGTGGTTGCTTCTGGCCCCACCCCTCTAGGCATATTACATTGCTGCTCTTTAGTAGGTTCAACAGTGCATTAAACTAACCAATCATCGATTTGGCATGGGCAGAAATTATGGGTTATCGGGACTGCCGCTCGGTAAAGAGTGTTTGTGTCCGTCCTTTGTAATTGGGGGATCCAGCATGACTGTTACGCCTGTTATGTCTGACGGCAGCGTACCTATATCTTTCCGTATTTTCAGCTTGTTTTTATTGGTCGGCTTTACGCCGTATGTAAGAAGTCAACTTTCTCACTCGCGGTGTGCTTAGCCTCGTCGGTTGCTTTGGTTACTACAAACACGGCGATATATTCTGCCTGTTTAAAGTCGGTCGTACTAAACATGGATTCATGACTCATTTATCTGAGTGATGATTCTCTTAACCGCCCGGACGATGGAGAATGCAACACATGCCCGTTTGCTTGGATCCGCGCAGTATTTTATCACAAATTCTGATCTGGACTCATTTGTCTTAGTTCAAGTGTCCTTTTCATCAGATTGGATAGTCTTCGGTCGAGCGAATCATTAGCAGATTCGCCAAACAGTGTTGCTCACTATGTCTTTATTTATTCAATCAGCACCCTCGACATTTGCTTGCGACAATGTTACATAGCGTGTCAGCCCTACATAGTATTCACGGAGTATTGTATTGTTGGCACGTCGACACCAGGCCTTCATGATCAAGCAATAGGACGGGGCAAGATCTGCTGGAGGCCTGGCCGTCTGACCGCTTGTTCGGTCGTCGTTTTCGATGATCGCCATCGGCGACTTGCGCGTGATTTAGTTTAAAGTGAATGTAGACATGCGCAGTATCTACCACACTCTTTCCACTTTTTCCCCACCTGGACGCGGTGTCAACACAAATTGAAGAAACCCGAAGGAGGGGGCGAGGACGCAGGTGGACGGCAGGGTCGAGCCTGCAACTTGGTCTTCCATTCCACGCCTCCTGGTCCGCACAGCAAACAAAACAAATGGGGGATGGCAGGGTCCCGGTATGAGCGACCGCAGCCCGAAATGCTGGCGCGCAAATCCGATAACGCCCCCCGTGTTGGTCCACCGCACATACCACGAGGGGAATTTGGTGTGCGGGGAGGGGCACGGGTTTCTGACCACCGTCGTTGGCAGGCGCGTTGGAACACCCAACCCACTACCATCACGTGCTACGCTAACGCGGCCCAGGAGCACACTTTTTCACGATGTCGTGTGACGGCGAGGACTCAGCCTTATCGCAAACACCAACCCACCCCTCCAATCTCACGCTCTCACTCTTTGTTCGCCTACTTAAGAACCGCTCACTTGATACGGCACTCTCACGGTCTCTGATGATGGCCTCGTATAGAGGGCCGAAAGCTGAGACGAAAAGATAAACCAATAAAGTGATCGCGCGCATATCTGCCACAACGTTTATTTTAGGGTATTTTTAACCAATAAGGAGCATATGCGCAACGTCGCGTTTTGTTTGCGCCAGTTAAGTGTTTACAAGCGTCAAATTATCACAGATCAGTACTTCGATTCGAATCAAGCACACGAACTCTTTCCAGCCTTTTTACAACAATTCGACTAGCACATCGCTATGAACACCAGTCCAAAGTGGTAATCAACTCGACCGAAATGTATGCATTATCAAGAAATCTCAGCGTTTTTAGACAGTCAGCGACCTCGCAAAAAACAGCTTTCAGACGAGCTGTTACCCTTCGTGAGAGCCCTTTCGAACTGCATGTCACATAGTAAGACGAATACGGTTCACTCTACTTGTCAGTATATTGTCGGCAATAATGTTTGGATGAGGGCGTGCTGGCAGACGAATTTGCTCACATACCGATTTCTGTAATTTCAGGGTTCTAAAACTGAATGTATTTTGTGATCTCTGTGTGCTTCGTTTTGATGTTTTTGTTGTCTGAGAGTTCGTTAACCTTAAATGTGATTTATTATACTCCTGTAGACGCAGTCGAGATACAAATATAACTCAATCCTACATCAGGCTGTGTGCCCCTCTCGCATGTACAACGTCACACGATTCCACACATTTACCGCGCAAAAACATCAATTTACTTGTCGTAACTCAGAATTAGTATTCACTATGTAGACAACATGCGCAGACATCTATGCATGTGCATGACCTGACGTTCGTCGTAGTTATGGAATTGCGTGACATGATTGGAGTGTATAGTCCGTCCAACAACGCATTCGTAAACACAATTTTACATGAGACAATCCGTAGATTAAGCTCAGACCAGGGTTGCATTGCGGTTTTTCGCAATGTGAACATGTGAGCGTTTAGAAAAGACAAATTAAGGGGCACTGATGTGTAAAAATCACGATGCATTATGCTGATGAAATTACATAACTGCTTCTTCATCGGAATTTCGTCGATCTGGTGTTCAATTCGGCAAATTTCCATGTCGAGGGTGGTAGTCAAACTCAGATAACGCCAAAGCGAAGGGACATCAGTCCACAAAGGTTTGTTCCACGAACAACTGAGAGAATTAAATTTTTAATATTGACGTCAAAGCGAAGTTTATGCGAAGAAATATCAAGTATTTAAGCAGTGATATGTATATGATTTTGCAACTTACACATATGGTCACCATAAAAGCTTTATGCAGTGCGTTAAATTGTAGCGGGCAGCGAATGTGAAACTGAAGCCTGTATCGGAAGCACTATGCCACGTAAAGGAGGATGAGTGAAACACTAGGGTTCCAGTTGTTTCACGTAAGCGCATTCAATGTCGTTAATATCGCCGCCCTTTGCATTAATTTGCATTTTAGTTCAAACTCTACTGACAATAAATTACATTGCAAAGCATCAATTTTTTCGCTGTTTAATTTCATTACCAGTGCCGTCGGTAACTTCAGTGAAAATAATCAACTTCGGAATGTTATCCGCGGCTCTGCGTATCATTGCAATACTTCAGTCCGCAAAATATATGTCTGTCTCGGAAATGACGCATACAAGTCTCGTAACGAGTAAAATGGTCTGTTTCGACTGATGGATTGCAACATTGAAGTTAAAAATGCAGTTCATTACATGCCAAGGTGTCCGATGTGGTTATGTAGCCCCACCTGAGGTTATCAAACTCCTGCCACATGTAATATGGAATGGGCGATATTAAGAGTTTTTACAGGTGGGGCCGGGGAACGCACGACCGACTAGAAAAAGCAGTAATATGCAAAAGAAAAGTTATTGAGAATGCGGAGTTCTAATTTGAGTGGTTGAGGAATAGTAGTCCTTAGACCTTACCCTAATCATAACTCTGAATTCGAAACCTGATCCGTAAGTCTAGCATCTTACCCGAACGCCCAAGCCTAACCCTAACTTGAACTTATAATCCTAACCCGAACACTATTTTGGCCATCAGGTGGGTATACATAACCACATCTCACGTGAGAGGGTATTCGGTCGTCATATAAACGGAGTTATCGCACGATGCCGGCGAGGTCAGTGTTTGGAAAAAAACGAATATGTTTGCGCTCGGAGAGTGTCATTCACCTCTTCCATCGGTGACAACTTCGGGTTCTGTGCACAATTAACCCCTCACATCAGATCCCAAATTAAAGGGAGAAGACGGAAGGAACCTGCATGAAGAGTTGTCCTGGCAGGCGGTAGTGGCAACTGGCGAAGCCAGAGCTGGTGTTGACTGCGTCCAGTCGTGCCTGAGAATCCCTGAGCAAGTGATGGCAGCCGCTTTTGTAGACTCGTGGGCCAAGCTCAAGTGGTGGCCAGTCAGTGTGCGTTGCATTTGCCGAGGGGTGTTGTCCTAGTGTCTTAGGTTGCGGTTGCAGGGAGAGGTGCGTTTAAGTGGCCGCATAGACAGCTGCGGCTGTGCGGACGCAGGTATGCCCGAGCTGTTGGTCGTGTGACTTCGGGTCAGCGCGTCTAGAACGGCTCACTGCAAAGGCGTGAATGACCTTGAGGCAGTCAGGTCTTGAACAATGACGCCAGACTGGTCGTGATGGCTGACCGCCACAACAACAAGACAAGCTACCGCGACACTTGCGTATAAGTACTTTACGACTCATAAGTTACCAAGACCATTTATGTATATCTGACTGCGATTAGCGCATAAAGAAGTAATTACAGGCTGTCATAAATGATTAATCAACTTCAGTGAATGTTGCTAGGTGCTCTTTTACTTCCTACGATAACTGCAAGGAGGGATTGTGAGTTTCCGTGTGCGGCGACTGGTATACGTCGTATGCCGGAATTCTGCTGTGTTCCACATCGACTTGCGACAGTCGGAGAGAATGTAGCAGCTAAGAAATTAGGTTAAGTATACCGCTGTAATACACGGGCAAAACCCCGAATTACAGGAATAGACAGAAGTCACCAGAATGAGCGGCTCATTGTTTGCAGAAACCTGAGTTGTCATTTCAGGCGGCAGGGCTCACTGGCTGTTGATTGCTGTGTCCATTTCTGCCCGAGATTTTGTGAGACAGTTGTGGTAACTGCTGAAGTGGCGTACAATTGGTGATCGTCCCATTCACCGAGGGGTGGTGTTCGAATGGCTAATTTCGTGTCCGCAGTGTGCGGCGTTCTCAAATTGCGCATGGACAACCGCGACCCCGTGGACCCATGTGCGTTCTACTTGAAGTCGGTCGAGTTGCTGGATGTCAGCGTGTCAGGAAAAGGCTCGCTGCGAAGTTGAATGACCTAGGTGTGACTGAAACGTGGAGGAGGACGTTTGACTTGACCATGATGGCTGTCCATAACTGCTCGGTGGAGCAGAACTTAGTCAAGTAGCACCCTGTTTACCGCATGATGAACAATTATTGTCATTCTCACATTAAGGACATTTTGGCAAGTAGCCGTATCAACTGGTTTTCCTAAACCTACGGCAAAAACATTGTAAGAGGCGTGAAGAATCAAATAAACCATGTTGACTTAATTGGAGCATTTATTGTTAGAAAGAATCTTTGAATATGCACTTGATTTGAAAATACTGCATGTACGAGAGGATATGGTGAAGGAGAACAAAGTATGGCATAAACTTGCATTTTGATATTATCTGCGAAAAAAAATCATATCTTTTAATTGCCGGCCTCTCCAACAAATGACTGGAACATCTTGCCTTTCCAAAATACCAAACAGACCGTATCGTGCAGTATTTTTATAGAGCCTTCGCTCTATCCCATTCGCTCGTCGGAAGATGGAATGTTTTTTTAAAAAAATAATATACAATAATATCGCAAGCAAGTAATTATACTGTTCTATGAATAAGCAGTTTGTAAGAATGTGTGTACGCCATTTGTCTCACTTAGGGCAAACACAGTGTCTTCTGTCATATGCAGTTGTTAAGAGATAAGCACAAGTTAACCCCCTGTCGTTATTTATTATTTAGATGATCGACGGACCTGGTATTTCTACCAGTATACTGCACAAGTTACGGTCCAGTAAGTGCACGGAAATCCCATATTTCCTCTCCATCCGCTCGCCTTCAATCCTGCTTAAAATCAAACTGGGGAGGACCGTTAAAATGGTATAGATGCTTACCTCATTGCAATTGTCATCGTTTGCTACTGAATATCTGTTAGTAGGCGATATATTATAGTTGAAACAAACCCCATTGTTTTCCATGTGGAGGAAAACTGGGATGCCTCATTCTGGCAAATTTCTGATGCACGATTTCGTTCTACGTCACATCAGCGTCCAATGCTGCCGTCGCACTTCGACATCTAGCGGAATTTTCTGATGACTTTCAAAAAGGCGCCTTAATCTGCCGCTATAACCATGCCAATGGCGGTCACTATGTAATAAGCTTAAACAGAACGCAAAATCTCAATAAAGGAAGTTTGGTCACGCGGCTAGACTTGCATTCAACTATATTTATCGCTTTTGTTTTATATCAGGGTGACGTCACGTCTGTAATTTCAGATGGTTTTTAATAAATATTAGCTTATATTCGCAGTTCAACCGACGAATCTCCATTTAGACACCCGTGTTCGTCAACCGAGCACAAAAACCACCGCCACCTAATGGAACTTTTCTGTTGATGCTACTGAATAGTAAGAATAAAGCGCTAAATCATTAACATTACACTCTATTTCCATTCTTAGCCCCAGCCGCTGGTCATTTTTTAAAACCTAAATTTACTCCATCGTCGAATAAAATAAATAAAGCCGACGTGATTCTGTATCAAAAAAGTAAAAGAAAGAATGTTTTCTAGAAAATATATTTAGATTTTTCAGATTATCGAAAATCAGTGCGTAAAATGCATGCTAAATAAGTAGTCATTTATACCAAGCACGGTCTCTGCAGGAGATTGAAAATGGGTAAACCTTAAAGCAGATATCCTGCCGCGTTCGGAAATCCACACATTATAATACGGGGACCATATCGGGTAAGTAAACTTATGCAGTGGATTTGACCCATATTGTTAACTTTACGATGCACATTAGTAAATGCAGATATATGAGGTATTATGAACGGCTTTTTAACGGTATTTGGAAGTCGCACAATTTGAAATAGAATTAATTTCCTTCTTCGAGTATAACATTTGAAAAAAGACTTAATTATCCACGGAATGAGCACAATAATGAATATTTTGATGCACTTTTTCCACAAAAAATATAATTGGACATTTAGAGGCATCGAGAACCAATAAGAAAACTTCCTGCTTAATAAGTAGTCATTTTTTCCAGAGTGTTGTTTTTCATGCAGCCGGAATGACCTTCATTCTAAAGCCAGAATCTGGAGGTAACTGAATAATTATAGAATTATGTTGCAGGCGGACCAGTTTTACGACCCTACCTCATTTTTTTTTCGAAACGAAAACAGCCTGGAATTTCGGTGGTCATTTCTTGAGTTGGCCTTTCTACTGTTTTTGTTGGCGTTTTTTTATTAAATGAGTTCGCACTTATAATATCATCCAACATTACTGGGACAAATGCATGCTGAATATGTAGTCATTTATAACAGAGCACGGTTTTTACAGGAAATTTAAGTGGAGTGCAATTAAAAGCAGGCATCCTGCTAAAACTGAATATTATCGATACAAACGAAGATGCGAGTTCCAGGAACTAGTTGATCAGAAGAAGAAGAAACGATCGTTGGAACAATGGCTTTATTCGCCTGACGTTTCAGATTTTCTCTTGAATCCATCATCAGAGACAGTTGCAGAAAAGGGTGGCTAGTGTACAGGAAGTCGCAGTATTTATAGGATGCGGTCGCCATGGTACCGCATACCTGCAGCAATTAACCGTGCTCCCTTCATCAAGGATTGTTGCCCGCTGGTGCGATAATTGCTTGATGGCCGGCATGCAAGTTGTTAATTGCTGACATCTCATCACCCGTGTTGGATGCTGGCGTGATGATTGCTCGGCCATCTGGCTCACCGGCTTACGCGTTCCTCGAGTGTTCAATTGCTTTGGCCAGTCTATGCCTCAGGACAGATTATGGAGTGGGAATGTCGTTGCACTTGTTGATAGACTGAAGTCCCGTGAACCATGACTCAAGCAACTCGCGGCTCACGCGATTATCCCCTCTCGCGAGAATTTCGGCCTCATCGAACTTGAATATGTGGCCGGATCACGTCGAATGGGCCGCGACCTGAGTGTTGGCGTCATTTCTGCATACCGCTGCCACGTGTTCGGCGATTTGCGTCCGGAGCAGTCTTCCAGTTTCTACGACGTAGTTACTTTGTCCGCAACTGCACCAGATCTTCTTCTTCTGATCATCTGAATATTATAGGATTATGCCGCAAGATACTAAGTATTACAACCGCGCCCAAGTAATTCTTCCCAGACAAAAACGCATTTCAGAATTTCAGCCAACATTTCATGAGACCGAGCACTCACTGTAAGGCAGTGGCGCTTAGCAGGTGTTGGTGTCACAGGCACCGGTTCGCCAGTGTTCGTATAAGGAACACGTAAGTGACCGACCAGCCCAAAGTGCGAGGTGAATGTGCAGTGACAATGTGGGCAGGCTAGGTCGGGATGTGCTGAGTCGGCTTTGGTGGCGACGTTGCTAGTGATGGGCGCTCTGACTGGTTTAGAGCTGATTAGGTTGATGTGGAAGGTGTGTGATATTGCGACGAATTCTGCTATCGTGAAGATGAAATTGATAGGCTGGACTCATTTAGCGAATAAATGCGCGTAAGCAGTATGAGAAGTAACGGGCGTATGCGACGAATGCTGGTTGTTGCTCCAGGTACTGAAAAACCAGTCCCCGCGCAAGTGACCGATATGGCCCTACTGTGAAGTGATGCATTTCATTTCCTGAGAACAGACTGTGGCCGGGTTCGCTTTGCGGGGGGGTGTGGTGATTGTGATGGCTACTGTTGTGGCTGATGTTACGTTGGGAGCATTTCGATCGATAGTAGGGGTTGCAGTCGTAGTTCTGGTGGTCGTAGCCGCGGACGTTTCTATAGAGATCATGGAGGTGGCGACCGTCGAGAGTAAACGGAGGCGATGAGCATGGGCCCCGTCGCGGACGCCGGGGCAACTGTTGGAGTTTTTTTTGTTGGCGCACTGGGTCCAGACAGGTCCAACGACGGTGATCCACACGCGAATTGTTCATTTACATGGTGTGCATTCGGTCGGGGTCGAATTTTGATGCTGCGTATAATGGACATCTGTGAGCTTCATCTTCGTTTCAGCATCAACGATCTGAGTGGCTTTTCTTCTCCAAGCCAATCTATTTTATATGCAGTCTTCTTCTTCTTCTTCTTCCGCTTAAAGGAATTCTTCAAAGTGTCCTTCATGCTGCGGTTTTGCCTTGTCAGCGATTATTAGTGAAAAAATCTTTTTGATACATCTGATTTGGTCCACGAACATTGTTTACCCTCACAAGGTGGCCGCTCCATCGTAGTTGCAGTTAACTTCGTCTGGCGCGTAAACTGAGAATTACCGTTCGTTACAAAACTTGCGGGTCCGGGATCCTATCATGCCAGCTAAATGTTAATTGTCGGCAGAAACCACTAATGCAGCTTTTATGAATGTCTCTTATAGACTGTCCAGGTCTCCTCAGCATAAATAATTATCATCGAGGTGAGATATTCATACATATTTAGGAGTTGCGTTTGGGGCCATTATGGTTCCATGCGGTGTGCTTAAGCCCACTGAATGCCTTACTGTCTTCGGCTATCCAGTGATGCCCTTCGTTGTGCAGTTTGATGAAGCGTGAGAGGGTGCGGCCTAGGTAGAGGAAGCAGTCGACGGTCTTCTGTTGGGTTTCTATTGACGAGGATGCAAGGATCACTGGATTCAGCGTTCGGCGGCGGCAGGTGTATGACCACCGTCTTGCCCCTGTTAATGCTCGGTCCGAAGTTGGCGCGCCGAGCGGCGAAAAAGTCTGTGCTCTGTTTGATGTCCGACTCGGGCGCGATGTTGGATGCGCAGTCATTCGCAAACAGCAAATCGTATATATTAGTCGTCGAGAAAACACACTGATGCCTTCCTGCGCCGACTGTTGAGAAATTGCCCGTTGTCCTGTAGGCGATGCAAACATCCGGGTGCTAATCGTGGTATGTGTCAATCATTACGAAGGGAAATATGAGACTGAAGAATGTATGGACGAATACACAGTCATAATTCAATCTGTTTATTACTGAAAATGCCTCAGACACGGTCCCATTATCTGTCGCGCGCAAAATTATCTCGTTCTAGAACTGACGTACCATGTTTTTGAATCGCTCAAAATAGCCAAATTTGTACATGGTTTTCCACGATTCTTTGCGAATTTTCTCTTCCAAGGGCTCTTATCGGCAAATAATTCAAACATGGGTCCGCATTTCCTGGCATATCTCTTGTAAATGGCTGACGACGAAGGTCATTTCGGTCGTTCCGTGGCGTCGTCTAACGCTACACAGGCAAATGTCCCCGTTCGTTATGGCCATTGGAACGGTTGATGAAAATGCGTGCAAACATATTTCTGGCGATGATAAGTAGAGAGATTGCTCTGTGGTTATCTCAAAGCTGCCAGGTCAACAAGTGTCTCATCTTCGAAATTTCCAGCGCGTGGTGTCAGGACACTCAAAGCCAAACAGTTGCCGTCAAATAGCAAACTATGACGTGTCAATTCCAAGCCGTTCGAATGCTTGAAATATGCAAACGGGCGCCAGGCCACGTCTCTAATAAACGCAAACGGCAGAGATTATTTGGACAGAAACCAAAACGTATTGAGTAATTTTTTAAAACATCTTGTAGCGCTATCTGGGAAGGGTAATTACTTGCACCTGCATGCTCGTTGGTTGTGCTGTGATTCGAATTCTGTTTGTATGTCGATTGGGTCGGACAATTATATGTAGCCTGAACTATGCAAGCGAACGGAAGGGCCGTGTCATACGGTATGATTGGGAAGAGGGGTTTTAAGGGTGGGGAAAATGGGGAACCCAGCGAAGAGTTTTAACAATGAGTAAAACAGGGTTTAGAAAGTTAATAATTAAATTTGTTTGAGGTGAAAAATGTGTCGAAAATTCAAAAAGTAAGCTGTAACCAATATGAACAAGATAACCAAGGCCAAAGCCATTCCGCTGGAGGTGCCCCAGACGATATTGTCGCGGATGGTGAATTCTAGTGAAATGCCAACGATAAGCAGGGCGGTGGAAAGTGAACCCGAGCAACGGTAAGCATGAATGCAAAATGCGCAGGACATAGAGGACTGAAGCTGTAATTATTAATTTGTTCAATAATTACCAAACGTTTCCCACTTATAGAACACGGACATCAATGAAGAAGCAGAAGGCCGCTCCACAAGCAAATAATGTTTGGAGTTTGGACAGATCCTGGATATTATCCAGTCCCCGTATTAAGTGCAATATTTGCAAGCCAAAGGACTGCTGGCGACGGAAGTTAGATGTCGCTGTCGTAAGCCGATGACATTGCGAATATTGCGGCAGCACACGGACGGGTTTGCCTTCACGTACACGAAAATATTAATATAATTCATTGCGCTGGTGTAACAATGTGGCACCAAAAGGGCACTGAGAACGGGTTCGGTGTTTAAGGATAGTCGCCTGACGTTATCAAAGGAAATGAGAACGGCCGTTGCGTTTTTGGCGGGCACCGGTGTAGTGAGATGCGCAGCTGTGATTGGCAGATGTGTGACTGCGGCAGTCCAATGGTATGACATCTGCCGGGATGTCCGCAGTAAGGCCGTCTTCAAGGAGGCCAAACAATTTGGAGGGCCGGAAGTTGAAGTTCAAGTGGATGAAACACTGATAACGCGCCGTAAGAACAATATCGGACGGTTAAGAAATGAGCACTGGATTTTGGGTTAGGGTCTGCAGGTCGATGACCAATCGCCGGACTACTTGTTGAGGTGTGTTGTAGGAGCGTAAACGACGAATGTAGTAAAGAAGTTTACGAACTTTAATAAATAGGGACTCAATATGGAGGGAAAAAGAAAGATTTGAGGACAAAGTAACGCCGAGATACCTGCAAGAGGATACTTCGTTAGGAAGAATGTCAAAGGAATCAGAGTTAGGAGAGGGCCGCAGACGAAAAATACACTGAACGGATTTTTGGTTGTTAATTAGGAGACAATTTTCCTCCGACCACGCTAGAACATGGTTTAGGCCATTTTTTAGAGACCGGAAGTGTGTCTGACTTTTGAGGGAGAGTCCAAAAACCACATCGTCAGCATACTTGACCAGAAGACAGTCATTAGGGGACCTGAGATCATCAGTGTGGAAGGAGAAAAGGTGAGGGGATAGAATGGAACCTTGAAGAACACCGCAGTCATTGGGAAGGGTCGAAGATGTCCGCTTGCCAGATTGGACAAATTGGGTGCGGAAGGTAAAATAATCGCTCAGCCAAGAGACGACCCTGCCTGAAGAGCCACATGCGGAGATTTTGGAAAGGAGAAGTGGACGCGGGACGGTTTTGAAGGCGGAGGAGTAATCAAGAAAAGCGCACGCATACTCGCAGCAACCCCTGTCTAATGCTTTTAGAGCAGAGTGGACCACAAGAGCGACAGCATCTAAAGTACTCCGTTTATCTTTGTATGCTAATTGTAAGGGGTCGGAAAAACTGGAAGAAAAAGGCTTAATGATACCTAGGGCAACTCTTTCAGCTAGCTTTAGTATTGCAGAGGAGCAGGCAATTGGGCGAAAAGATTTTGGACCAAAGTTAGCAGGCTCTTAGAGATGGGAGTGATTCTCACTGTACGCCAGGCGTCGGGAATCTTGGACTCCATGAAAGACATATTGATTAAGTGCGTTAAAGTAGGGGCTATCTGTGAACTGCAAGATTTGAGAAGAAAAGGCGAGACAACATCCGGTCCGGCAGCTGTTGATCCACGGACCTTTTTAAAGTGTTTCTCTACTGTTGTCAAAGACACGGGCTGGAATGTACTCGGTGATAGGCGAATGTCTTCTAAGGGAAGATGGGAGTCATTGTGACTAAATATAAAATTTTTATTTAGGGAGTCTAAATCTGCATCCACATGCACCAGCGTGTTGCTATGGCCAGTGAGACGCTTAAGAGTTTTCCAAATCCCAGCTGAGGAAGGGGGAAAGGGGGGGGAGTAAGAAGAAGAAAAAAGTTGGCTGACAAACAGGCTACTTAGCCTGTCAATCTCTGTTTTTATTCAGACGGTAGCGTCCTTAACGTTATCACGTAAGCCTAACTTGTAAAGGAGTTCTTTCTTACGTCTTAACGATTTTTAATAGGGGGAAGAATTTCGATCCGGTCGTGCCATAACAGTATCAAAAGGGCAGCAAATATCGAAAATTTAATTTAAAAACGCTGTCAGAGTGGAAAAACAGGATTCAACATTAGAATGTTCAAGAAAAGTGGGGATGGTAAGAGAAACGCAAGTCTGAAGCATGAGAATGTTTTGGGCGGACGTGTTGCGAACCTTAAACTTTCTCTCAGGCTTGGCGAGCAGTGCGCGTTTTGAAGTGGAATAGATTTTTAGAAGGCACTATAAAGTAGAATGGTCAGAACCGAACAATGGAGCCCTGATTTTTACGGAAATAAGCTTGCTGCGGTTAGTCAGAATATGATCAAGAGGGGCATCTGCGCGAGTATTAAAGGAGACAAGATCATCGAAGCCTAAAAAGTAAGGGAACGTAAATTCACGCGATTAAAATCACCTCAAAAGAGAGTAAGATAGTCGCAGGATGATATAGCAAGTTTTTGTGAGAGGAAGTTGAAAAAACGGTTAATGCGCCTTCACAGGAAGAGGGCGAATGTAAATAGTAACAAATATGATGCCTTTAAAATTACTAAACAAACGGGGCTTACATAAAACAGCGATTACATCGATCAAATCATCAGAGTAAGAAAAAGGGGACTTACAGTCTCTACACAAATTTTAATTAACGAAAATGGCTACGCCTCCACCTCTGCCACAAGATAAAGATTTTCTATCTGTTCGAAAGCAGTAGAAGGATGGGGGAGTAATGAGCTGAGAATCAATGTCACTATTAAGCCACGTCTCTTGAAGGCAGACAACTGTGATCTTTTTTCGACAAAAGTAGCTCCAAATCATGGGCTTTTTTGAAAATAGTACGACAGTTAGTCGACAAGAAAGCAGGAATTGACAATTTGTGATTTGGCTGACGTTTGAATGCG